GGAGGAAAAGTAGCTGGAACAATTGGAGCAATGTTGCTAAAGAATTACATATTTAGTTCAGTGATTTAGGTATTGGATGTGTATTTTACTTAATCACATCACATATCTAAAAATTTTACTAAGTAGTTATATACGGTGCACATATATATATATGTATGTATGTATGTATGTATAGGGATATTTACTTTTTAATACCGATATTTGTATAATTCATTGGGTTTAATTATTTAAAAACTATACTTTCGATTTTTGATCTCATCAAATGAATACCTTCAAATTAGATTTAATACTTAAATTTGTACAATTCCACACTCAACCCTTGATTTTAACCTTTAAAATATCTAAAATACCTTTGAATAAAAAATGGAAAAAAAGGAAAACTAAAACAAGATTTAAACTTATGGTTTTGACCTAAAAAATATGCAAAATACCATTGAAATGGGTTTTCCTTTGTATTTCAAATTTATTTTTTGTAATATTGGAAAGTTTAGTTTTTTTAAATCATTTTTTAAAGGATAGTTTAGTCATTTTAAAGGCTAAAATTAATTATTGACTGGATAAGGTATATATTTGTATATTTACTTTAATTTAAAGGTATACATTTGATGAGATTAAAAACTGAAAGTATAAATTTTGAATAAACTTAAAACACAGAATATAAAAATACAAATATCCCATATATATATATATATATACTTACTGTGTAAGGTGCATATACTGTGCCTAATTAAAAAATCCCCTAGCCAAAACCCAATGAGAAAAGGACTAAGGCGGAAAATAAGTGCATATTTACTTTAATAAGTCGGGTTTTTACAAAATCCATAGCAACGAAGACCTGCTATATCCCTATTAATCGTAGTGGAACCAAAAAAAAAAAAAAAAAAACAAATGCACTGAACCACCAAGAAATGTTCGCGAAAAGAGATCACATAAAAAAAATAAAAAATAAAAAAAACGTATCATCAGGAATATGATTATCGTCCCCAAAAAATGAGATACTCTGTGTAGGTAATTGAAACTTGTAAGGAATCAAACGACTTTTTGAATTTAGCAAACCAACCACATAAATTCAAACTATAATTCTTGACAAAGTTAAAAGCAATTATGACACCTATAAGCTCAGCTACAAGAGGCAGGCTAAACAACCAAAACGCTTTATTAAGTATGAAAAATACTATTAGCCCTCCCCCATTATAACCTTAATCCATTCATATTCTAGAACATGCCATTGAACTTCTATAATGTGAGAAGCCTTGCTAACATGGTTTGATAAATTAAAAGCTTTTATGACAATTGCATCCAAAACAGAGTTATTCATTGTACATGAATCGAGAGACCCATACAACTCCATAGAAAACTGAATGCATGATTACTCGAAAAACAGTTGTCCTAAGACACCATCTCACTGTGAAAATTTTATATTATCAATATAGCTTATAATTTTAGAAATTCAGATTAAAGACTTGTTTACTCATCCAACTCGTGAAAAACACTATAAGATGTAGAGTTGTTACCCAAAAAAAAAAAAAAAAAAAAAAAAAAAAACAACTCTTTACTTTAATGAAATACCCTCTAGGGTGGCTTTTACTTATGAAACATAATAATGTATTGCACATAAATTATTCAATTTAAACATCAATTCGTTTGATAAATTTAGGGTTTAAATGGATTTAAATTATTTACAAAACAAATCTTAACCTTTTCATGTCATGTTGCTCCTTTGTAGATTGCTTTGATTTTTTATGGCTTAGGTTCTTCATATTTAGATTCTTATAGTTCTGAGTTTATGAAAACGTTTCTCTTGTTTCTCTTATTGGATAAGTTTTTCACATTTTGCAGAGACAATTTCTGCTATTACTATTGAGAAGAATCTGACTATGCAATCAATTGGGAGATCATCTATAGATAAATAGCAATAAGCCAGTATATGTCAAGAAAGATATCTTCAATATGTAATCTCAATAAAAATGTTTTTATGCAACATTTTTAAGGCATAAAAATCCATGAGGAATAATTATAGTATTTAATAATCATTAGTCTCCTTAACACAAATTTCTGGCTTCATCTCTAGTGATGTAAATCTTAAACAATCATTTTTACTTAAATGGAAACATTACTAGTATTAATTTTATTGTTGACAAGTTTTAAAAATTGCTTAAAAATGTTTATTGCGATTATAGTTGAGAAAATAATATTTTTGAGCACTTCATGAAAAAATAATGAAGTGGGGATATTTGAGAAAAATTATTTTAAAATTAGAGAAAAAATAAATTTTAACGAGAAACATCTATTTATGCATATAAAAGACTCCAATTCCAAACTGTGAATTCACATATCATAAATTAGTGTAATTACATACCATTTTCACAAGATTATAAGTATAAATATTATATGAATGGTGATGTAGCATGAGCTTAATTAAAGGAAAAATGAAACAATGAAAGTAAAGGAATAATTAAAATATAAATATTATAGTTAGCATGTTGATTCACACAGAATATCAGAAAATTTTCTTCAAAAAACGTTGACTGATTTTTATTACAAGAGAGCGTCTAAATATATAGGCAAAACAAAAACTGAAAACTAGCCTATTCCATAATTAGAAATTAATGAAATACAAAATTTCCAAAAGAAAAAGGAAAAATTTGAATTGGAAATAAGAATTGAAACTACCAAACACAAAGAAAGGTGAAACACAATAGGAACTTGAATCTAAATTTTCTAGGTCAACTTATTACAAATACGAAAATTACTAAAAATCATAAAATTGCCATTTTGAATGACTAAACAATGGAGTTTACCCGAAAAACGTCACTAAAAGACCCTATGAAAACCGAAAAGTTTACCTTATTTAGTTTTAAAATGTTCCTAATGTGCCATGAAAATTAGATCCTTTTGTACCGCCTCAGATGGTTACAAGAATAAGTCTTATAATTTGACCCTTTTTTTAATGAAATTCACCTTATATTTTTGTACACTACATCCACACCCTTCAGGCTAGATGTTTTAGTTTCAATTTTATCTACTTGTGCAGCCACCTTATAGCCAGTGGTGGCACCTGCCGTATTGAAATTTTTCTGTTTTAATTTTTTCATCAAAGTTATAAATGTTTCAATCATCATTTTAATGCTAGTACAATTTTCTAATTTAAAAAGTTCACCATTGAAATTTCATATATTTAACCATTTAAATGTAAAGTTTATAAGTTTTTCAATTGAACTCGCAATTTGCCTCTTGTGAAAATTTTCTAAAATTTGGAAGTTTTTGTATATTCTTTTTTCTCTCTAATATACGCACTTATCTACGTATATTCTCATTCTTTCACTCTGAAATCTGAACTATACCATGAACTAAACTTACTTGGTATATTATTAAAAAAAAAAAAAAAAAAAAAAGATGATGAAAAGTTTAAAAAAGTGCCCCCACTAAAATAGATCCCTTGTCTAGCCTCCCCGTGATTTCAACCATTCTAATTCGTTCACTACACACACACACACACACACACACAAATAAATAATAATAATAATAATAATAAAAATAAAAATAAAAACAGTTTTCTTTTTTTTTTTTTTTGCTAGCTAATAATCGAAAAATAGTTTAATTAGTCCGACAACTACACTTGCTGCGTTTTTAAGCATGGGGTTTTGAATATTCAGAATTCCAGTCACATGAAAGGAATTGAACCAGAACCATACACTAACCTAATTAAAGATGTATTCTATTTTCCCAAAATGAATTAAGTTTGGTGTATGTAAATCAAAGCCACTAAAAGAGTAACCCGTACGTGTTATATCATAACGAATATACATTTACGTAATTAAAGAACACAACCCAGAAAGACACTTCCGTCTTTGAGAAAGGTGTTCTGAGAGTTGATTCGAGGACTTTTGTGTTTGATAGAATTAACCGTGAGTCTTGTATGGATTTCGGGGCTACGGATTTTGAAGATTTGTTTTTACTAATATAATATTAATATGCTCAGATTTTTTTTTAAAAAGAAACCCTACGGCTTTTCTATATTATGTTTCGTTTTTATTTCTAAATAAATACTCTTTCAGTCAGTGTTAACCTAGTTGGAATGCTCTGGTTGGTTCTGATATCAATTATTATTTTTCGAGAATACACTTGTCCTTAGAGGAAGTCCTTTATCTTTGGAAACATTAGTACTCTTATCTAATTTAATTTCGAAATCCGATGTGCGTGGTTGTAAATTTTTTATAAAAAAAAAAAAAAAATAAGGAGGCAATTCAATAAAAATATCCTAGTATGATGATGAATTTTGCTACTATAATAGTATAATATAGACTTGGAAATTAGAATTTGTAAAAATTTGAACAAGGTGAAATAATCACTCACTGCTACAGGGGGCACGGTGCGTGACAGAAAATACGACAAGAAAACTCCATCCTTAATTGTTTAGTGTTAAACAACATGACACTTACGCGTATTGGTTATAAGACGGAGACTGCGACCAGGAAAAACAGATAAATATCGATCCATTAATTAATATATATAGTATGTATGTAATATGTATAGTATAGTATAATATAATATACATAGGCACAGATATATATACATATATATATATGTATTTAGTGTGTGTATATATGAGCGAGTGAATACACGCGCGTACAGGTAGTCTGCCGTATGGTGGTGGGGCAGGGCTGACGGAAGAGGAGGTTTGTCTTGAAGCAGGCAAGAGGATACGAAATAAGAGAAGGAGAGAGAGAGAGAGAGGGTAAACTGGGTAAGGGCTGCCAACAGCTTTTGGTGTGGGCCCAAACCCATTTGCTGCACAAAACGACACATTAGGCTGCGTGATATGTAGCTGCATGAACAGCGACACCCCGCCTCCAGCTTCTCTCTAGCTAACAGAGTTACCTCTCTCTCTCTCTCTCCCCCTAATTGTAATGGTAAAATTATAAATACAATTACAATGGAAACAAAGCAAGAACAAAATCATATATATATATATATATATAGAGAGAGAGAGAGAGATAGAGAGATGGGTATGCATATGGGTGGACATGTATATATGTTGTATATATACATGACATTAAATGATGGAGTGAGCAACAACAAGAGTGTCTGTTAGAACATCAGTTTAATTTGCATTTCTCAAAAAACAAAACAAAAAATACAACAAGAAGGCAAAAAAGAGTGAAAGAATTAAAGAGCAGAAAACGCCTATCAGTTTGATTATTTTCTTCTCTTGCGAATTTCCGGATTCTTATTGTCTCTCTCTCTCTCTCTTCAAATACTTCTCTCTTGGTTGTTTCTTATCTCTGTTATTACTACATCAGAAACTGCTGAACTGGCCAAGAGAGGTTGACTTCTATTTCTTCAATCTCTTTAGTACAATATTTATTTCCCGGGGAAAGAAGAATTAGCACAAGAGAGTTGTGGATTTTCATTCAAGATTTGCGAGCTGCGACGGCGGAAGAAGAAGAATAATCTTTTTTTCCCGGAAAATTACTAGATGGCCGCTGCTCCGTCGTCGGTTCCGTTTTTCGGAAGCGGTAGAGATTTACAAGAAAATCAAAGCCAAATGACGTCGCAGCAACCTTCCAGCTCCACTGCTCTCACATCCTCATCAATTTCCAACTCCACCCCTACAGCTCCTCCCAAGAAAAGAAGAAATCAATCACAATCAAGCAAGTTTCTCTTTCCAATATCTAAACATACATATAACAAAATACATATTCCAATCCCAGAAATAAAACCCTAATTTTCTTTTTCTTCTCTAATCCGTAGAGATTTTTTTTTTCTTTAACACATACCAACTAGGTTCGCACCAAGGAATAATTAGGTTTTCTAATACATATATATATATTTTTTTCTTTTTAAAATGATATTAACAGATGCGGATGCGGAGGTGATAGCGTTGTCTCCGAAGACTCTGATGGCGACTAACAGGTTCATATGCGAGGTATGCAACAAAGGGTTTCAAAGGGAGCAGAACCTGCAGCTCCACAGGAGAGGACATAACCTGCCATGGAAGCTGAAGCAGAAGACAAACAAGGAGCCGAAGAGGAAGGTCTTCCTTTGCCCCGAGCCGACGTGCGTCCACCACGACCCGTCGCGGGCCCTCGGAGACCTCACCGGAATCAAGAAGCACTACTCGCGGAAGCACGGCGAGAAGAAATGGAAGTGCGAGAAGTGCTCAAAGAGATATGCCGTACAGTCCGACTGGAAAGCCCATTCCAAGACATGTGGTACTAGAGAATATCGATGCGAGTGTGGCACTCTCTTCTCCAGGTACATATACAGACATTAAGTTTTTTTTTTTCCCCTTCTTACAAATGACGCATATATAAGTGTTCAATCTTCTAGTTTTTTGTGAACCGTCAATTCTTTTAAATGTACTTATTTTTGTCATCTGTCTGATCTAGATACATGGCATGTACTAACTTGCTAAGAAGTTGATGAGTAATAATAGTAATTAATTAAAATATGCTAGGTATAGCCTAGAATTTGTTTGAGGTTAAGAAGAAAAGAGCACGTACGTCTTGATGTTCGGCATCTACAACTTCCAGTTTTAAATCTTTTAAACAAACAGCCTCTCTCTCTCTCTCTCTCTCTCTATATATATATATATATATAATATATAATATATGTATATATATACACACTGCATATTTCCGCTCCTGTCTCTCTACTTGTCTCTGTGAGTTTAGCAAGTAAATAAGCTATATATGCTGGGTTTTGAAATTCGAAAATGGGAAGTGAAAATTTATGGGAGGGAGAACAAAAACAAAGAAAAAGTTGAAGATTTCTTTCAACCTCGAAAACACCGCTCTCTTTTATCTTTTCTTCCGTTCACGTGTAGTTTATACAATGTATAGAGGGGAAGCATATTGTTGCTGGCTTTTGTTCTCATGTGGGTTGGACGTGTTCTCTATTGGGGTTTTGTTTCTTTCTTGGTTGGCTCTACATCTTTTCGGGTCTGAGCTCTTTCAGGTACTTCGTCCGATGGAGCATTAATTAAGGTTATATATATATATATATATATCAGCCAAGATGCTCTTCTCTCTCTACTCTCTATAATTCTCACTCTCTTTCTCTCTCTAAGTATTTTTTTTTTTGGTAGAACTTTCTTTCCCTCTCTCTCTTGCAGAGTGGTTACTTAGGTAACTATTCTTAATTGGTTTCTAGCTTTTCAAGTGACATTTTAGTATTCACAATCGCAATGATTGAACACATTTGAAATTCTTGACGTTTCATGAGCTTCATAATTAAAAGGTTAGTGGTGTTATTGTGAAAATTAATATATAACTTAATTAGAGACCGCGAAACTAATTACAAGGACTAGTAGACTAGTCATGTTTTCGTACAATAAATAATTTATTGTGAGGTTTCGTGAAGCTTGAAATGTGTTTTCCTATTCCTTGAGGCCATGCATGCATCTCAAACTCGGTATATTTGTCTCATTTTTCCTATAGTTTAGCGTAAACCAGCAAAACTAGTTTTTTGCTTTACCGTCCGTACAGATAGATATTTTCATTGTTTTTGTAGTTTTATTACATTTGACTTTTTAGTTTTTAATCACCCACGCGAAATTTCTCGCAGGGTAAGGTCCTTCATTATGGGACCCCATCTAATAATATCTTGGACATTTTGCTAGTCATATCTTGGACCCTTTTTGTTATGGTAATTAAATATATACACACACATTATATAGTTTTTAGCAATATGATACATATCCGAATAAGTTGATTATTTTATAAAGTTTTTTTTTTTTTTTTCCTTAATCTGCTTACCAGGGTAAAGTACTGTACGTACTACTCAAGTAAAATTCAACCACGTTGGTCGCACATGATTTAATCTGTCCGATCAAGTTCAACTAGAGCTAACTACAATTCTCCTCACTATAATGTATTAGGCCTCGTTCATTTTATCAATTTGAATTTAAAATTCTAGTTTTACTACAGTAAAAAGCTCTCAGAAATAATCACATTTAACTCTCTCACATAAAATTACATCTAAACTCAAATTAAAAACTCGAATCAGCGAACTAAACGGGCCCTTAATATATATATATATTATTTTCTTCCGGACCTCCTATATATTTTACCGGACAACAGTATCACGTCCACTTCTTCTTTTAAGTTCTGCATCCATTTTTCTTGGTATAGATATATATAGTTCCTCAGTTAGGTCCAATCATCTGTCCCTTCAGTCGCCTATAAATACATAGGAATTTGATGAAGGATCTTGGAAATTTCTGTCGTACCACATCAACACAGCTCAAATCTAGTGTCATCTACTGTATTGTGAATATGGTATAAATATAGACGCTCTATCTTTTTCTTTTTTTTTTTTTTTTTCAATTAAAGCCTTATTTCGAAAAGATCTAACTAGGTGTCATTTGTCTCTCAAGTTTGATTCATAGTTTAAACTATTTTTATCGTAGTGTTTTTTCTATAAAACAAAAAAAAATTGTTCATACTTCGATTCACAGTCATTCTAAGTAAACATGCTATTAGATCAGTGGACATTAATATTATTTACGGACTGATCATGATCATTTACAACATTATTTGAAGCTGCTTTGTTTTCCTTTTTGTAGGCGTGACAGTCTAATTACTCATAGAGCATTCTGTGACGCACTTGCTCAGGAGACTGCAAGGCATCCAGCAAGCTTAAACACCATAGGTGGTCACCAGATCTACGGTAACAGCCACGTGAACTTAAGCCTTTCACAGATTGGTTCCCAATTTTCTTCACTACAAAATCACCCATCAAGCAGCATCTTAAGGTTGGGAAGCACAACTGTGACAACTCCAAAATTAGAGCACCTTATTAATCCATCATCAAACCCTTCTTCTTTTGGAAACCCTCCACAGAATAATTTTCCCACCTCGGCATTTTTCAACATCCCAGAATCCCCTAACCAGAATTTCCAACATCATCACCAATCCGATCATCACCATCATAATCAGCCATTTTTTAGTAACAAACCATTACATGTTCTCACTCAACTTCCTGATCTTCAACCAAACAACAACAACTCATCCAGCTCCGACCTCTTTAACCTCGGATTCTTTTCCAACGTCGACGGGAACGGAACGGGAACCAACCATGGAACAACAATCTTCTCCACTAGTCATGTCGGCGGCGACCACATTGTCGGTTCGGGCATGTCGTCTTCTCTCTTATACAGCGACATTAACAACTCGGTGAGGCAGGAGAACCTTTCCCCACAAATGTCCGCGACGGCCTTGCTCCAAAAGGCGGCACAAATAGAATCAACCTCAAGCTTGGTTGACGCCTCCTCTTTGCTAAGAAGCTTGCGCGACTCGGCAACAAGAGCAGCTGTGAAATCCGAAAGGGATCAGCTCAACATTGCTTCCTCTAGCTCTTTTGGAACTGGTGATCCCACAATGGGAAATGAAAGTCATCTCCAAGGGTTCATGAACTCTCTAGCCAATAATGGAAGCTCTTCCAACGCTTTTGGAGGGTTTAACGGAGATGGGATTTCTCTGGAACAGCGTCAAGACAACAGAAATTTAAGCGACTTGGACGAGACTAACAAGTTGCATCAGAATTTGGGTATGCATTTTGGAGAGTCTGATAAACTGACGTTGGATTTTCTTGGAGTTGGAGAAATCGTGAGAAACATGCAAGGTGGTGGAATCGGTGGTATGGGTTCTTTAGACCCACAGTTGAAGTCAACACAGCAAAGTCAACTGTTTGGAGGGACGACACTTCAATGAAAATAACTTGGGAAGACTTTTAAAGACAATAACAAAATTCGGTGTTCGGATGAGACTTTCTGTTTGATATTAAGGAAATATAACTGCAAATTCAGTAGTAGTTCAATAATTAGCTTTAGTCTAAACCTTTTTTTAACACGTTAACGTTTCATCTCGTATTGCTTATGTGAAGCCTTGGGGCTAGTTAATTACTTTCAATATTATTTGGTCCAATTTCATGTGTTATTAAATAGAATTAATCTCTCTCTCTCTCTCTCTCCCTCTGATATCTCTCATAGATCACAAGGCATATTCATCTTTATTTCGTGCTTTCAAACTATAATTAACATATATAGATTATATATACAAAGATAACATTCCCTAAAAAAAATTAAAAAAAAAAACATAAGTAACATGTGCAGATATTGAAACTAGCTGTCTATGAGGAAGTTTTGGATGTTGCGAAGTTACATTAGTTCATGAGATGTTATTAAGTGAGCCATGTTCTATAGAATAAAAATGTTAAGACATAGAAGCAGAGCCACATTTTTCTGAATCTTCACATGACTATATTCCAACAGAATCGACAAGCAGGACATTAATTTATCATGTCCGGACTCCATGCCTATTAAAAAAGTTAATTTTCAGTTCCTTATTTCATAATATGAGGATCTTTTTTGAAAAGAGGAAGTTAGAAAAATAACTTTTGGTACTGATCGATTAGTTACATAATTGATGTTATTCGTTTCTCAACATATTAGTAAATGGCAAGTTAGCCCTCTAACTTTTAGTTTAGTAATTTTCATCCTCGAATTTCTTATTTAGCAAAATATCTAGTCCACTTGAAAATGGCTATCTAATTTTCACTACTACAAATAGTGTACTTTTACAACACCAAAACAATGACGGTTTTTGGAGAAACCGTCGTCATGTAAATTTAAAAAACGCAACACAGGTTTCTCTATTTTTCAGAAGTACTCTATACGGCGGTTTAGACGACGGTTTCCTAGAAAAGTCTTTTATTTTGAAACTTTTAGAAAAGCCATCGAAAAGCTAACACTATTTTATTTCTGCTATTGTTTTTAAATTTATCTTATATGATCACTAATATCCTACACGTTAATTTCTTGTATATCTTGTGGGTTATCTTTTCATATCCTGTAGGTTTTCTTTCACAACCTGTAAGTTATTTTTTTATATCCTAATTAACAGGTTATTTTTCATATTCTGTAGATTATATTTCATATCTATAGGTTATTTTTCATATTCTAGTATGTTATTTTTAGTAGTCTACATAATATGTTTTTCCTTAACAACATTCAATCATATTTTTTTTAAACAAATTCTCTCTTCTCTCACCTTCTTTCTCTCTTTCACTCAAAACTTCAGCGTGCCTCTCTCTCCAACGGCGAAGACGAAGAGTGCGTTTGGAACTCGTTCTAAAATGATTTTGTTTTTTGTATGAAAATGGAAATGAAAACGTTTTCAATCTCAGACAGAAATCATTTTTAAAAATGCGTTTAGTAGTTTTATCAAAAGATTATTTTCAGTATAAAAAAATCTATTAATGTCTCTCTCTCTCTCTCTCTCTACTCGAGAGAAGAGAAAATGAAAACAAAAAATAAAAAACGACTAAAAGTCATTTTTCATTTCTCTCACATTTTACACTCAACCAAAAAATCGTTTTCATTTCCCTTTTTTGTCTTTAATTGTTCCAAACGTCGCTTCTCTCCCATTTTTATTTTTTCTTTCTCAAAAAACGTGAAAAATAAAAACAAAAACAACTTCAAACACAGCCAAAGCGACATCATGAGATCTGGCGCTACTCTCTCTCTCTCTTGACCTCCTCTCCCTTTCTTTCTTTCACCTCTTCCTCTCTCCCCTCTCGCCAGTACCGCTGCCATTGCAAGAACGGTAGAAACAGAATCGCAAAACATACAAAAAAATGGAAGTCATTACTATATATCCACAAAAATTACCCACAAATTCATATTAAAAATCACAAACTAGAATCAAAATTCATGAGCTCAAATCAAACTTAGATTTACAAACTCAAATCAAAATTTACAAACTCTTAAAAAAGTTCAACCTCATATTTGCGAATATGGTCGGATCTGCTCGAACACTTTGAAATCTAACGATGAGCACATGAAATCTAGTGAAAAGTTTGAATATCATCGACCTCCCTCCGAATATGGAACACTTCAAAATCCGGTGATGAGCATCTGAAATCCGGTGAAAAGCTCAGACATTGTCAACCTCTGCTGGATCTATTTGAACACTTCAAAATCCGCCTATGAACATATGAAATCTGGTGAAAAGCTCGAACATTGTCGATCTCCCGTCGTAAGCGAAGGCAGCGATGGATCTCATACTATGGCTTTCAGAACTGGTCCATCGTCGCCTCTAGAGAAGCTTTGCAAACGGCAACGAAGCCTGCATGAATGAGATTTCATGGGATCTCCCAACGACACCGCGTGACAAGGTGTCCGTTGGATCTTCGTTGTTGTTCGATTTTGCAATTGAAATTTCTGTGGATATTTCTTTTTATTTTGTGTAGTAATGAATAAAAAATGGATGTTTACTAATAGGATAAGTTATCATTTGACAATAGTCGATAAGCGTTGTTAAAGGTATTTGGCAAACATATAGTTGTGTATGGTATGATACAATATGTGTTGTTAAAAATAGGCACTATACAACAACGTCTATTGAATGTTGTAAAATACAGAGCGGCGCACATTGTCGAACTATTAATAACAATGTGTTTAGATTATTGTATAGTTTCTTTAATAACAGATAATTGAGTGTTGTTAATGAGCTTTTGATAATGACTAAGGTCACTACAAGAATCAGAGGCTTTAGCGACCACTATAGATGTTTGTATAACTTAGGACGGCCACTTCTAACTAGCCACGACTAAAAATTTAGAACAATGGAAGACAGTACCACAAGAAAGGTAAACTTTTTGGCGCTCTTTTAAGATCTTAATTATAAGTCGTTGCTAAAACTCTTAAACAGAAGTGGTTATTTAAATTTTTTTTATTTTTTTTTTGAAATTTTTGTCGTCACTAAAACTATTTTTGGTTACAAGTTTACATCTTTTTTAATTAGGGTTAATAAAAAATGGCATCGTTAGGTCTTTTTATAGCAACGATTTCGTACTATAAAACAACGATATATGTCATCGCTAAAAGCTCTGGTTATATAACCAGAGGCCTCAAGTCATTCTCCCGTTTTTACTCTAATTCCCCTATTTTTCTTCAATCCCTCTCTTTCAGCCAACTTCAATCCACCACTGACTAATGTCCACTGCCGACCCAACTCTCCATCGCCACTCCGGCCATCCTCCCTTGGGTCACCCATCCTTTCCTCCACCATTTCCTCTCTCTAAAATCTACTTAGTTTCCAGAACAAATTCCCAAAAAGCTTAGCTCTCCCTAGTCCTCACTGCTATTGCGGTTCTCGCCACCACCACCGTAGCAGCCATCAACCTGGAATTCTTTGTTGATCTCCCACTTAATCACCCCATTTAGTGGGGGTTTAATCATAAGTTTTAAATTTGTTTAATTTTTATTTATGTTTTGAAACTTTTGTTGTTGGTAATATAATAATTTTTAGAGTGATTTTGTTGTAATTTTTGTAGTTTTTAGAGTGTGATAATTATGAGTTTTGTAGTTAGGTTGATTATGGTTTTGTATTAATTATGATGATTATGGTGAATAAGGTATTGTAGTTTTGATGATTATTAATGGTGATTGTCGTTATGATGGTGTTGGTTTGATCTTGATTTCGATGATGATGATGATTATGTTCGATGATGATGATGATTTGGTTTTTTTGTTGTTTATATAATTTTGATATACTAATTATAGGTAAAAAGCTGTTTTATATTGAATATGTTTATTATGTTTGCTGCTATTTGTTATACTGAATATGTTATATTGGACATGGCGGTTTGATATGAATATGTTATGATGGTTTGATGATGAATATATGTTGGTTTGCTAATAATATGTTTGAAATGTGATAATAGATGTTAATATTGTATAGGATTGAGTTATTAGTAATTACTAATAAAGTAATTAATGAAAAGTGAGTCATTAATAATAAGAAGATAAATTAATAAATAAAGTTAGTAATACTTAATAAGTAATAATAACAATACAAGATTGAGTAATTAATAATAATTAAGCTAAACATAATTAGTAAGTTAAAATGAAATAATAATTACTTAAAAAACAGAATTGTAACTAGTAATTATTAATGTCAATTTAAAGGTAAAAATATAGAAAGTTATAAAAATAAGTTAAAAAGTTTATAATTACTAAACATGAAATAAGTAATAATTAGTAATTAGCTAATTATTAATAATGAACTTTGATAGGGGGCGATGAAGCCTTGGACTTGGGATCATCAAATGGATGTTAAAATAGAATGATTGCCATGTTCACGTTTCATATTAAACGATCAGTATACGTGGTTTAAAAAAAAAAGAAAAAAAATTAAAAGTTGAACTTCCAGGTCAGGGTAATTGATAATTAATAATAAGAGCTTCAGGACTTTTGAGATAAATTCTTTTACACGTGAGGCTTATGTTTCAATATATTAAGATCGTAACAAATAATACTAATAGGCAAATTAAATATGAAACTAAGTCCCAATTTTCAAGAGGATTATTTTAATTAATTTGTTCAAATCAATAAAAATATTTGCTGCGTGAATGTCTAAACTGTTCATGCATGTGCAATTTCGAAAATGAACACAACATATATACAACAAGAGAATAATGAGGAATGTTTCGTTAAGTTTTTTTCTTTGAACTAAGTTTATATATATATATATATATATATATATATATTTTTTTTTTTTATGAATGGTCAAACATCTCGCATTGCAAGACTCTAGATAATATTTTTATTGATTTAAATATATATATATAATAGCTATATTTCTCTTCAAAAGGCATGAGGAAAAAATTTACATTTCCACCGTGGCATTGGAACAAAAGTATCGAAAATTAAACAAAGGGGTCCACAGATAGTACCCTGTTATCTAATTATGTTGAGCCCCATACATTCACCTACTGCTTAGATATAATATTTATAAAATGACCCTGCAAGATTAAATTATTTACTTGTCTTGTCACATTATTCCTTGTCTGTTGGTACGTACTCTCATTCCAAACCAATAATGAATTCTATATTCTTCATTATGCCATTAGTTTATATCTCATATTATAAAAATAAATGAAAAAAGGAAAGAGGGGTGGAAGAAGAAGAAAAATCAAGCAGAATCAGTTATTAATATCTCACGATATGACATGACACTCAGAGTGTTAAAGTCTCGTTATGATATATTATATTATACGTAAAGCAGAGAACATATATATATATATATATATATATGTATGTGTATATATAGAGTATCAAATATTCATTGATATTCAAATCCTTTTTTTCTCTCTTATTGTAGAATAATAAAGTATGAATATTTTTGTTTTCAGAAACAACCAATTATAATGCATTAAAAAGTGATTTTCCTAATTGTGCAAATGCTGACGAGAAAGTGTATTTTATATTAAGTATAGTATGTGTCAAATTTAGTACAAATTATAACACTGCATAAAGAGTGATTTTACTGACTGTCCAAATGCTACAATTTGGCTTTGATTCAATAACTTGGCACTATATTAAAGATGCCATTAGTGGATACCAATTTAGTAAGGGATATTTTAGAGCTCTTAAATTCTAGTTGTCTTCTCTAAATATTTCATTAAAAAGAAATAGAGGATACTTTTTATCTATGATAAAAGAGAGAAGTAATTCCGACATAATACACAAGAATATTTATATCCGACCAAAATTCTAGGTACGTTGTCCATATATATCTATTATATATATACTAATTGAACTTCACATGCTATGCACGTAGAATAATCTATATGTTAAGTTTTGATTACCATGTTGTTATTTTTTAATTCATTTAACAAGAAATTAAGATCTTAGTTAGGTAGGCAGTTAATACATAATTAACACAAACATCTTTATAAATATTGCCATTAAAATAGGAAGGATTACACTGGAAAAAAATAAGGACACATCTGGAAAAATATATTTTAATGAGAGTACTTGAAAAAAAAATATTTAAAATAATTTATGGTACTAGGAGTAATATAAGTGAAAACCCGCATTTTAGTTAAAATCACCCAATAGAAACAAATTAGAGAGAGAACACATGTATTGAAAAAAAATAGTTGCAATTAGTTAAGGTGTAGAGGAAGAGAAATGCACATCACAATAAAGCTTTTTAAAATAAAATTTTATAAATGAGATATATTTAAAAGCGCATAAAATTTGAATATAAAATCCTGAAAAAGAACCAAATCCCAACATTGGTAAGTATGAGAGAAAAAGTGAAGAGGAGAAAATTGAATAGATAAAAAAAATAAAAAAAGAATAATGCTATGGACTAACTGAAACCCTAACTTTTATATACCAACTAACGTGACATGTTAGTTGTTATTTTTATATTGGTTAGTGTTTAAAACATTATCACATCAATTAATGATAGATTGTACCTACCGATAAAAAAATGACAACTCACATGCCACATCAATTGACACACAAAAGTTAAAATTTAAGGTGGGGTCCCTGACATTACTCAATAAAAAACCAATGAGTCCACCATTTTACCCCTCTCAAGTGGAGAGATAAGAGATTTTTTTGAGTGAAAACTTGTTAGCTTGTATAAATAGTCAATTTACTTATTTATTCTTATTTTTAAACTAGTATAATGTTAATCAATTGGTCAAATAGTCAATGCCTTCATCATTTATTTTCTTTCCCTCTTCTCATATCACACAATTTTAAAGAAAAAACAACTTTCTTTATGAACTCATAACATTTTCTCTTTATTTCATATTTTCTCTCCGACCATTTCTCTTTCCATCTTCGTTCTTCAAATGGAGCGTAAATTGAATCTAACTATTTTGTTTATATTTTCCTTTATTTTATTTTAGGGGAATTGTCAAATAAAGTAACACTATTTTATTTATTCCATTGTTGTTAAATTTATCTTATGTCACTAATAACCTATAAGTTATCTTTTTATAACTTGCAGGTTATCTTTCATAAACCGCAAGATATCTTTTATAACCCGCAAGTTATCTTTCGTAACCTGCAGATTATTTTTCATAGTGACATTAAAATTTTATTTAATAGCATAAATAATAGAATTGAAAAAAATAATACTTCAACTTAAAATTTTCTCTTTATTTTATTATTTATTTGTGGTAAGAAAGAATTAGCCTTTTTATCTTTTCTCTCTCTTTCTCTCAAGAATCAGTTTTACACATTATCATAATTAGTTGGAATTTTTGGTGACTATAAAGTGGAGTGGATAAATTTAGTATTTATTTACATATATGTGTAGAAAAGGCGAAAATAAGACAAGTAAATAGGATTGCATTCCATTTATATAAAATTCAATGTTGTGGCTACTACATCCCCTGAAAAGTTAAGCAAGAAATAAAGAGTGCAATGTAGCTAGTAATTAATCCCAAATTAATTGTCTTGTTGCTACGGCCTAGAGTTTTTATTGCATTCACATTCTTGACCATTGGCATGGAACAAATCCTTAATGAACACATTGTTCTAATCAGTTATAAACCACTTTTGTCCCTGTGTGTGTATGTGTTTTTTTTTTTTTTCTGTTGAAGAAGAACCAAGAAGAATGATTGTGTTGTTAGACTTATATATGATCAATAAAAACATCTCAAGATATATAATAACAAATGATATTGCTATTAGCGAGGCTAGATCTCTGCACATACATAAATCATTTAAATCCCAAACTAGTTTTCTGCCATTATTCTTCTCTAAATTAGTTTTGTCCCTTAGTTGTTGGATTTTTAGAAGTACTGGCTGGCAGGAAACATGTACACACAAATAATTGTTCTTTTATCATTTTCTTTAAATGTACTCGGCCATGGTATCCAAAGAAGTCCTGCAAAATGCATATCTCATAATTTTAATATATATATACATATATATATATATACACACATATATATATATATTCTAAAACAGACTGTAAAAGGACTGGAATCTCACAATTCTTGGTACGGGAATAGCATATCTAGAGGCCAGTTGATTTTAATCCTAATGGGTTATAGATTAAATTTAAGAAACAATTTAGATATGTACTTATTTAAAGGCTTTTTTTTTGCATGCACACCCCCTTAACTTTACGAGTTTAGTAAATTGGTCCTTTAATTTTTTTCTTAGCAATTCACCATTTAAATTTTAAAATTTGTTGCATTGTTGGTCAAATTGAAAACGAAGTTAAAAATTTAAACGGTGTCTTTTCACGTGAGTGTTTAATAAAGATAATTCTAGTCTTTTTGCATCAAATTAAACCATTTATACACGTCACGAATGCAAATTTTTTGAAATTGGGAGACCCCCAATTTGTACCCAAAACGGTTAACTCTCAATTTTAAATAAATTTCCGCTCGTGATGAGTATATGAGGATCAATTCGATGCAAAAAAAAATATTAATTATCCTCATTAAATACTTACGTGAAAGATATAGTCTAAATTTTTAATTTTTTTAATTTGACAAACATTGTAACGAATTTCAAAGTTTAAGAAGTGAATTGACAAAAAAAAGTTAAAAAGACCAATTTGCTAAACTCGTAAAGTTGAGAGGGATCTCCATGCAAAATAGCCCTCATTTGAACGTCATAAGTTAGAACGGATATGAAATTTTTCAGAAGTACTGTCTCAAAAAGCAACTTGAAATTTTTTTTTTTTTTTTTATTATGACTTGACAATTGGATGTGTTTGGAATTTTGGAAACTTCCTATCTGCTTGGATTTTCGCAGTAACAACTAGTGCATAAAGTAACAACAATATTTCAACATACGAAAAACAGGAAAAAGATTTGTCCTCTTAAAAAAAAAAAAAAAAAAGAGTTAAAACTACGAAAGAGTTCTAGCTAGCTGCCAATGTTCAAAACCCCAGAACACTTGAGGGGCACTTGCAGCATGAAAGATAGGACACAGCTCCAAGAAGCTTAAATTGTGCTGATCCATATCACTGAGTTGTTCAAAATACTCTTCAGGACTTGAGGGTTGCTTATCTTGTCAGGAAGACGAAGGTGCGTCCCGTAGATGATCGAGAAAATTATATCGGAGATTTATCTATCATGTCTGAATTCCTGCAAAAGAAGCCACATTTAGACATTTTAACAAGTTTGTCAAGCATTTGACGCATGAAAAAGTTACACATGCAATAAGTTTATAGTTTTTGTTTCATATATTGTAATATTTGTACTAGAGAGAGGAGAAGTTGTGAAAAGGAATCTATGATTAATCCTTCTTAATTATAAAGAACTTCACAAAATATTGCTAAATCTTCTTTTCGGTTTGAAATTAATGAATGCAACTCCAAATGAGGGAATTAAGAAGAAGAAAAACAGCTAACAACAAGGAAACGATCTCCTTCCATAAGTTCATAAATTACATGTACTTCATTTTAAGAAAGTACATTCTTATGATTAAAAAAAAAAGAATTTACAAATTTGCATAGGTATTTTTTTTCTTCTTTTGGCGGCCATACAAACTTTATTTTATTTCTAGTGAAATTGTAACTGTTTAAAGAAGATATTTTTCCGCCCACCCTATGTAAGGGCACTCGTGACTAAAAAAGCAAGAAATTTGAAAAAGAAAAAGTGAAAAAACAAAATACATATATATATATATATATTAAAAGCTCAAAAGACTAAAAAACAAACGAAACCCTACATGCATACCAGACCACGAGCCGTGACTGCTCCAATGTAAGACAATGTGTCAGACAAAGAAATTTTATAAAACGAAAAATAATTTATTCTTTCAAGAAAACAAAACAAAAAACAACACAGAGCTGTAACAGTGAAAAAACCAACGCACAATTACCAAAGAAAACTAGCTCACTTTTTATCCTTCATAATCATTTAATCTAAACTACGTCACTAATTTTCACGTACCCTCTTTTTGTAGTAGTACCTTTTTTTTTTTTCTCTCCCCCTTCATTCTTTACTGAAAATTCCCACCTGATCCTCCAAAAGATTGGCTTGACGGCGCAGCATTACTCTCTGAATCCAATGAACTCATTTGCTGGTGTTGTTGCTGTTGTTGTTGTTCTGACGATCTTTTTGACGCAAATCCTCCGCTAACGCTTCTCACTATCTGTCCGACCCCAAGGAAGTCCCTCGTAAATCTATCGGATCCTCCGAGACTACTATTCATTGGGAGATTACTATTTTGTTGTAGTTTGGGCTCTTCCGTTCCGCCGCCAAATGGGGTTCCGAAGATTGACGAGTTTCCGGCGGCGGTGAAGGAGTTCATGAGGTCCTGGAGATGGCTCTGATCGTTTTGATCCGCCCCGAAAAGTCCGCTTCCTACGAACGAGGCTTTGTTGGGGCCGGTGCTGGCCGGGGAAGATGTTCCGAATGTTCGGAGGAGCGAGGCGGTGCTGTTGTTGCTCGATGTCGATCCCATCTGAGCCGCCTTTTGGAGGAGCGCGGTGGCGGACATGTGGCCGACGGCGGAGGCATGGTTGCTCTGCATTGCCCCGCTGTAGAGAGATGGGACGGCGCCAGCGCTCATTTGGTCGCTGCTGACTATGTGTCCTGAAAATATATTAGGCCCTTCCCCCGCGCCGCCACCTCCGCCACCAGCAGATGTGCCGTTTTCCGCGGAGAAATGATTGGAAATTAATAGTCCTGAAAAAAACAATGTTAGTGAAATAATGTGATAATTAATTGACATTAGTAAGTTTGCAAGAGTCTTGAAGAGGGTTAGCATAGCACCAGAAGGAGAGTTATTATTAACGTTGCTTGCATTGCTTTGAAGTTCCGAAAACTGCATTAGTCCATGAAAAGGCTTGTTTGGCAAGAACCCATGTTGATGAGATTGTTGTTGATGATGATCTTGATCATGATGGTACTGCTGGTTGGACTGATCCCCGGGCAAGAAAAAAGCGGCGGCCGACGACGGCATTGCCGAAGGCTGTTGAGGTCGAAAATTCGGTGAGAGAATGTGATGGTCGAACTGCCCGGCAGGCGGCGGCCGGTGATGGTGGTGCAAGGGGGTGCCGAGGCGGAGAACATCGCCGGATTGATTGTTCTGATGGTCTTGCAATGAAGAGATTATTTGAGGACCCAATTGGGACAATCCCAAGCTAGGTGTGTTACTTCCTCCGTACAAATTTCCTCCAATTGTGCTCAAATTGGAAGGGTGTCTTGCGCTTTCTTGAGCCAATGCATCGCAAAATGCCCGGTGAGTTATGAAACTGTCTCGCCTGAAAATATATATATATATATATATATATATATATATTGGGAAGAAAGAAATGATTGACAATATTACGTCAAAATCTCTCGTGGTAAATAGTTGTGCGGTAAAGACAAGAAGTCATGTCTATGTGTAAATAGATCGACTTGAAAGAACATGAAATTATAGTGTTGGAAGGACAATTGAAAAGGAATTACAAGTGCTTGTGATCCATTATGTTCGATGGACCATTGAAATCTCAACAAATTTATGGTCCCACACTATAGGAAAAATTCAATGGAAAAGCACAAACCCACATCATTTTTTGGGAAAAAATGTGGCGAAAATTATTACAAGGACATGAATTTCAATAGCTAGGTTAAGTTGTTAGCTTTTTTTTTTTGGGCTAATGAATTATTAGTGTCATTTTTAGTTAAGTTCCTCATTGTCCAAGAATATTATTTTTTAGTATTGAATAGATAATTCCCTAACACCGCCGACAAATAGTAATATTATGCCTAACAACTATTTATTCAGTATAGATACGAAAAATCTTCAAGGTGGCAAAGCTTAAAACCAAAAAACGAAAAAAAAAAAAAAAAAAAAAAAAAAAAAAAAAAAAAAAAAAAAGAGGAAGAAAATAATTAAAGTACTGAAACAATTAATACAGTGAAGAACTTCGCAGGAGAAAGCTCAACTAAAAGTTCCCAAAAGAGATACGAAGATATTTAATAAGGGAAATGCTAGAGAATTAATGACTTCTCTATAACTCGGAACAAAATATGATTATTAAATCAAGAAGAAAACTACCATTTTCAGAAACTAGTTGTTCAATAAATGCAACAAGAGAATGTATTCAAACACGCTGAGAAACACATGAACAATCAATCAAGAAAAACCCCTTCTGGGTTATTGTCATTTAATGCAAAACTCGTGAAACATCTGTTTTCCCAGTCGAAGAATAATTATACCCAACCCCCATTAAGGAAAAAAAAAAATCAAAACATCCCACTTTTTTTTTTTGCGTTCAATCAAAACCTCATATCCTAATTCCCTCCACTATGCCCAAATGATGAACTGTATCACCACGGGTCTTTAAAAGCTCTTCAAAACAGAAAAGCATCTGAGAAAAGCAGTTGAGACTTGAGAAAGGAAAAGAGGAGAGAGAGAGAGAGAGAGAGAGAGAGAGAGAGAGAGAGAGAGAAGGAGAGAGATTTGGTGAGAGGCTTAACGTTATCATGAAAAGAAGTACCTGCAAGAACACAGTACTGATCACATCTAGCCAACCCATAAGAGAACAAATCCTGGTAAATAAGAACGCCCCTCTCAGTACTACTCCCACCATCTCTAAATGGCATAGCAACACGTGAATATGAGGGAACGAGGGAAAAAAAAGAAAAGAAAAAAGTAAAAGAGAACGAGAAAAGGGACGGTCTTCCCGAGGCAAATGATATTGGCACTACTGTTTCTTTTAATCTTTTTTTTTGTTTTGCTAAAAAAAATGAAAATAAAAAAAGAAATTGGGTGTTTGTGATTTTGGGTATTCTGTAACCTCTTCGACCATGGCAGTTTCCAGAGATTATTCACGTGGGAGCATGTTTTCGGCTAATTTCCCTTCCTTCCTTCTAGAAAAGATTTTTGAAAACACTTTTTAAAAAAAAAAAAAAAAAAAAAAAAAAAAAAAAAGAAAACAGTACCGTGGAAACAAAAGAAAAGAAATAAAAAAACACCCATTTTGTGAGAAAACAGAAAAGTATAATTAGAACCACGTAAGTTTTAGAGGAATCTAGTAAGCGACTGAAAACCCTAAGACAAAGAAAGGCAAGCACCCGCTGAACACGAGTACGATGCTTGTCTCTCCTTCTCTCTCTTACTTCTTTCTCTTCATTCATCACCCGACTAATTGTTAGACGGGTCCAGACAGATTTCTTTTTTTTTTGGAGAAGGATTATGTTAGAATAGTAGTACAAAATTCAATATCAACAGGCTTTCTCATCATAGGTTAAGCTTTCGTTAATTACCTCGAGAAGAGAGTGCCACAGTCACATCGGTACTCTCTAGTACCGCATGTCTTGGAATGGGCTTTCCAGTCGGACTGGACGGCGTATCTCTTGGAGCACTTCTCGCACTTCCACTTCTTCTCGCCGTGCTTCCGCGAGTAGTGCTTCTTGATTCCGGTGAGGTCGCCGAGGGCCCGCGACGGGTCGTGGTGGACGCACGTCGGCTCGGGGCAGAGATAGACTTTCCGCTTCGGCTCTTTGTTGGTCTTTTGCTTAAGCTTCCAAGGCAGGTTGTGTCCTCTTCTGTGGAGCTGTAGGTTCTGTTCCCTTTGGAACCCTTTGTTGCACACCTCGCATATGAACCTGTTTGTCGCCATTAGGGTCTTGGGAGATAGTGCTATCACTTCTGCATCTGGATCTGTTAAGTGTTTTACCCATGATAAAAAATGACAAAAAAATAATAACAAAATTATTAGAAAATTCACAAGGAAAGGAAAAGAAAAGGAAAACAAAAAAAAAAACAAAAACAAAGAAGTGGACAATTAAAGTAGTCTGTATCCATTCCTTTCCCATTTGATGAATCGAGAGTAATGAGAAAATTTTGTTTTCTTTATGGGATTTTTCTAAACAAGTGCAAAAAGAAAACTGGGATTTGCTCAATTTGATTGGGGAAGTGAAACAAACCAAACAACAAAATAAAGTGATTAATGAATCTCAGTATTCATTCCTTTCCTGTTTGATGAATATCAAATTGAGACTGAAAAGTGGCTCCAAATCTAGGGTTGCTTTATGGGATTATAAAAAGAAGTGAAAAAGGAAAAAGGAGGAAAAAGAAAAAGTGGGATTTGTTTGATTTGATTGGGAAAATTATTTTTTGAATAGAGATCTTGGATTGAGAAAAGAAATGGTTGGGATACTTGCTTGGTGTTCCGGGTTGGTTTCTCTTTTTCTTCTGTGCCGAAGCTGCTTGAGCTGTTGATGAAATATTAGTTGGTGTCGTGGAATGTTGTTGTTTCATCTGGTTGTGGTCTTCTAATTCTCTATTCCCAAAAACTTGTGCCGAAGAAGAAGAAGCAGCAGCCATTTTCTCTTTTGTTTTTGCTGATGAAGAAGAAGAAGAAGGCCTTATACTTTTTTTTTTTTCCTTATATTCTTTTACTTTCTCTCTTCTCTCTGAGTTTCTCTGCTTCCCTTTTTCTCTTCTATCTGGAGCTATACCTGAATTCTAGAAACCAGCACAGCCAAACATGCAAATTGAGTGTTTTTCTCTCTAAAATCTTATCCCAAAAAGAAAAAAAAAATAAAGAAAAGGGGAAAATAAAATCCCAAAAGCCTGCTGTGATAATTAGAAGCTTTTGGGGAATCTGGGAGAACAGGAAAGCTGGCTAGAAAGAAAAATGGATTTTAGAACTAAATTGAGTTGGAACCAAGGGCTGTTTGGACAGAAAGGAAAAAGGAATCAACTCCATAGACAGACTTTGAAGCTTCTCTTCTCTGCTTTTCTATATATTTTTATTTTCCTATATATTTTTATTTTCCTAGCTAGCTGCTTTGTTTTTAAGGGAAAATGTTTTTTAGCAACCCCCCAAAAAAAGTGATATTACTTTGCTTTCTCTATCCTGATTTGGTGTCATGAGGGTACATTAACACATATACAAAAGAGAATATATTTCCCACTTCTTTTTCTTCCTTTATTGAAGTTAATTTTCCCCACCTTAAATTAAAAATGAATGTGTAAACAAAAATAATCAAAAAAAAAAATTATATTGGCAATTCGGAGAGAGAGAGAGAGAGAGAGAGGTAATGCCTTCAGGTCGGTGGACCCAATCCTAGCCGCTTAACGACATGGAATGGTGCGTGAGAGCAGCGCTAGCATGAACAGCAACCTCTCTCTCTCTTTCTCTCTCCTCTTTCTCTCTCTTATTTCGTATCTTCTCATTCACTTCCAGACAAACCTTCCTGCATCACCGATTCCAAGTGGACCTCACGGTAAAACTTTAAATATATATGTATATTATACATATATATTAAAAGCAAAATAGGAAAAGAATTAAACTAGACCCCGAGCTATAAATCAAAAGAAAGAGTTAATGAAAAAGGCATGCATTAAAAGAATTGCAATAAAATTTTGTGCTGTTTGGGATATTAAAGAACACCTGAAGAGTTGGTATACTGGCTAGGTGATAAGGTTTTGAAAATTCTGGTTTTGATGAAGTATTTGTCTGCTGAAAAATTAGCTTAAGCGCAGTGCGTACTGTTGTTAGGCTTTTTTTGGGTCAGTGATGACATGTATTTTGCAGAAGAGCTAAAAAAGGGGTCAGGCTCCTTTTGCTGGGGCTGAGCTTAATTTGGTTGGTTCAGTTACAATATGCTATGTTGCAGTCACATCAGGGCATGAATAAAATGGCAATTTTATTATTTTAAAATATTATTTATTCTTTTGTTTTTAAATAAAAAAAATAAGAAATGGGTTTAAATTAATTAAATTATCACAATCATAAGACCTAAAGAGAGACCTAATCCAACCACTATGGATAAACAATGAACAATCACCCCACACTGATTTTTAAGATTTTGCAAGTACTGCTACTACTTCTCTAGCTAATTGTTTCTATCATCACCTACTCTTTTATGTGACAGATAATTAAATTGTATCAGCCGGAGAATATTTATTTATTGTTGAGGAAAATTACAGTCAAAATTATTTAATGCTTGGTGAAATATTAGTTAAAGGGATATTAATTACCTTACTATACTTAATTAGTCAAGGGAAATGGTGTCATAATTAAGTTAACTCTGCAGTTTCGTCTTTGTGGAATTTGAATTTGTTGATTGGGACAGCTTTCATTTTCCCTCTAATTAATTAATTTCCATTTTTTGCTTTTCAAACTTTGAATGACAGTTTTTATTCCATTCCAACTAGAGTATTATTTTTCTCCTTTTCTCTCAAGGAAGAGTTCAGTTGATCAGCTATTACCTAGAAACACATATAGTCATTCTTAAAAACAATGACAGCCTAACTATAACTATGAATATATATGCATCATTGTCATATATATCCTTTTGATAGATGAGGATATTATGCATGCAATTACGCTGTTTTTTTTTTTTTTCCCCCGATAAATGATTTTTCATTTGGAGCTGAGACTTAATTACTAAGTACCCTTAACAATTTCATGTACCTGGAGCCATTATAAGCTGCAATTTCCTAATTGGAGTTTCTGTTTGGAAAGGTGCCTCAATTGATCAGAAAATAAAACTAAAAAGAAAAAAAAAAGATTCTTTTTTTATCCGTATATAATTGAGTTCTGTGGACGTCTTTCCAATCATTTACGAGATAATTTCCTTGATGTACATAATAATTTGGAGCTTTTTCATATTGTATATAGATGTATATATGTATATATATACAGGTTAATCTTTTAAGTTGTGATATAAGTATAAAAATGGACTTTCATCATTAATTAATTGCTGGCCATGGAAATATATATTCCTTGTTTTGTTTTATTTACTTGGAACATCTATCTCACTGGCGTAGTAATCAAGGGAAAATACCATAAATAATATTTCTTTTGACCATAAAATACCATAACTATTGTATCTGTTTATGATATCAGAAGAAGCCTATTCAAACAAAATGGTAAAAAGGCTTCGGTTACAGAAAATTGTCAAACCCGCCACATTTAAAAAGCTCACCAAGAAACCAGTATTCGAAGGAAGTAAGAGTAGTAATATATAGTAGGACTATTAATAAACAGTGACAACAAAGCACAGTCTGTTGGCTAACACGAGGACGATGGTTCCGTTAAACATGGACACGCTTCATTTTCAACAACGGCGGCATATTTGCACTTTACACTCCATGCCCCTCAACTTTCTCTAAATTCTATCCAACTCCTCTTCTCTCTTCTTCTAACCAACAAATTTTATATAAAATTTTCGAGACCTTCTGATCCACTAAGTAACTGATAAGGCGGCCAGTTTCTGATCTCTAGATTTAAAAAAAAAAATCATATTAGATTGTAAAAGTATATAGAAGAGATAATTTTTAATACAAATTTAACAGTTGAAAAATAAAAAATTACTAATAGTTCATTTTTTTCAGTCCTACCATGGAAGCTCCCAAAGTTTTTTTTTTTTTTTTACTTTTCTTTCTCTCGTTTTACATTCTTTTTTTTTTTTACTTTTCTTTCTCTCGTTTTACATTCTTTTTTTTTTTTACTTTTCTTTCTCTCGTTTTACATTCTCTTGAATCTAGAGTGGTCAAGTCTCCTTCTTCGGCAGTCTTTTGAATAGGACATATATTGGAAAGCGTATGACCACCTTTTAGAAGCTCAAAACTTTGTTTTGAACTTGATATATTATATAGTTATTGTTGTTTTTTTTTTTTTTTTTTTTTTGCTTTAACTTAATTTGTAATTGAAATTTGGGTTTTGGAAGTATGTCATCTTTCTTTAGGACGAAAAAGGAAAATAAAGGGAACTCGTTACTCATCAGTTAGTCCTTTTTACTGTTTGTATGTAAGTTTTCTTTTTGTAGCAAGAAGTAAAAGTGTTTTTCTGAACAGAAGGAATCTAATGCCTGAAATCTTTGGGAGAGAAGGACTCAAAAGTTGGGGAGAAAGATGTGGTGGTCCAAAATATTGGCAACTTCGGGGAAGCTAGCCTTGTATGTTAATATTAGTACGTACTATGATGGAAAAATAAAAATTGGAATATTGATATATATATATATATAGGACAAAAAGTTGAACAGGTTATAGCCATTCACGGGTAGCAATGGTGGGCACTGTATGCCATTTGAATTAGAGGGCTCAAAGTGGATATGCTGCTATATATATATAGACACACACACACGTTGAATAACTAAATCTATTGAGGAGGGGAGAAAAAAACTGGATATGAAAAAGAAAAAAGGTGTAAATTTCATGCACATGTACATAGATATCATTACTTAAAGTCATATATTTCTTAGAGGGAGAGGGTAAAGTAGGACGTTGGAGCTGCAATTAAGAATGGCGGATCGATAGAATTAATCTTGTTTTGCAACACAAACATTCATATATATATATATATATATGTGTGTGTGTGTGTGTATGTATCTATGTATAAGAGGCTCTTCGAATGTTTAAATGGAACTAAGTTAATGAAGGACTTCACGATGGTAGTTGACAAGCTAAACTCCAAATGTTTGGCTTGATATTAAAACATAATACTAAATCATTAAGTCTAAGGCCTCATTCATTTTACCGATTGAAATTTTCAGTTATAGGTTTCTACAGTTAAAAGCTCTCAGAAAATGTCACATCTCAGCTCAAATTGAAAATTCAAATCTGCGAAGCGAACGAGGCCTAAGAGTGTAAGCCACTAAACCTTGAACCTTTAGAATGTAATTGCTCCCTGACAGCTCAGAATCAAATGGGAGTGTATGATCATTGGCTTCACAGCAAAATTTAAAGTTTGTGTGTCCTTTTCGAGAAATTGACCACACAGATGATGATTGAGAAGGGAGCGGATTTTACCATTCTAAAGGGGTGGATTATAATTTCACATAATAAAAAATTTAAAGCATTTAACTTTGGATGAAATGTATAATTTTGTATTATAGCTAGGTTCAACTCTGTTGATCGCTAGTGGCTGTGCAAATGCTACTAATTGTTGCAATACGTAAATCATCCGCTGTTAACACTGCTATGAACTGGTACATTAGCTTAGCTTTTGTGACTCTCAAGAAAAATATTCCAAAATATCGTGGTTACAACATTTTTAACAACTGTTATTGGCAGATACAACCTTGTCGTCCCTTAGGGCGTCAATGTTGGTTATAAGAAACTATTTTTAGCGACGACTTTATCATTATTCAAAAAATGAAATAGTCGTGTCAATCTCTAGTAAAATTCCACGCACCAAAAATATACACTTTCAGTGATAAAAATACCGCCACGTTCCATGTGTGCTATAAAAATACATTGCTAAAAGAATGCAAAAACTGCATTGCAATTCTGGTGCGAGGATAATGTAAAGTGTTAGCGCTAGTTTTGGCGCAGCACCAGGTTTTAGTCGTGGCTAAAATTACGGAAATTTTTTTTTTTTTTTTTTTTTTAAAAACACCAATTAATTTGGACAACATTAATGAATTTTTCAATATCATATGACGTTGCTATATAGTTTTTGATAATCATTAAAACACTGCTTATGTAAGCTCCACCTTTTGTGTTGTCTTGGGATGATTATGTATGTTTTAGCAATGATTGTTTTATCACTAAAAGTTCTTAGTATAAATCACAATCGTGGCTTCTTCTTCGTCATTTTTTTTTCCAAATGTCTTTGCCCCCTCTCTCTTTCTCTCCTTCTAGAATAAGGTTAACTTTTCAAGGAGATTAAGGTGACCCGAGAGCCAAGAGATCAGAGTAAGGTCCCATTTTGAACACTACGAATATCAAAGTTCGAAATTTTTTTGAATAAAAGTTTTGCAGTTTGTTTGTATCATGGTTTCTTAAGAACTTTGGATGTATATTAGAACTAACATGTTTATGGTGTTAATTACGGTCGTACGATGGTGTAGTACATAATGGGATGATACTTAGGTAGGAATAATCAAAAGTATGAAACGTGGTAAACAAAGTTTAGGTTTTTCTTTACAAAAAAAAAATTCTAACTTTGTGCACTGATGACATGAGATTTAAACTTTGGCATAAAAAGTTATTATAATGGCATGATTATGTAGGGCCTAAAGTATATTATAGTCGCTCGAAAGGTTTTAAAAGGAATATTGATGTGGGATTTATGCTTGGTCACAGTTTAGTGCTCACAATGTATGGAAAAATAAATTTCGAAAAATGAATTCCTTACTGAACCAAAATTGGAAAGTTATAAATCTTCGAAAGATGAATACGACTTGCCGAAGAAAATTTTTTGAGAAATCATAGAGGCTTTATGTCATGGATCAAAAATGTCGAACCATGAAAAGTTTGGGCTCAAAAAAAGGGCAGTAACTAGGTCTAAGCAAGTGATCAAACTCGTTAAAAGGTCTGCTAAACCTATTAGGGGCAAAATAGTCATTTTCATTAGTTCAGGAGTAAAAGGGTCAAAACAAACACCGAGCTTCTCATTCTAGCTCAACGTCTTCTGGGAAAATATGTTCCCCTTAAGAAACACTGTAGAACTTCGAAGTTAGATTGCCAAGATTCAATAGGGGCGAAATGATCATTTTACTAGCAAGGGGTAGAATGGTAAACCATATACTAAGGACATATTTACAATAACTAAAATAAACAGTTTTTTCGAAAATATAATAAACATTTTTAATCATACACTAAGTTTAGAACTAAATCTAATTGAGAAAAGAATTTAATGTGCATAAAATAACCATAAAATGAAAAGAAGCTAAGTGAACAAAATAGTAATTTAACTCCCGGACTGTATTTATATAGTTTGGACTTGCCTATGGATTGATTATGGAGTCTAAAGAATGGTCATTGGACTTGTCCTAAACAAGAAAATTAAGAGAAAATTGCTTAACTTACTCTTAGAGTGCATGTGTTTAGAATTTTTATCCCTTAATTGCAATTTTCTCATCTCCTTTTTTGGTAGACTGGTAGTTAATTTTCTCATCTCCTTAAACTTAGTAAAAATGGACCAAAACTTTCACAAGTCCAAATAAACCCTTATAAAGCCCAATAAGCCCCAGATCTGTAAGGTTGAGCAAAAGAAGGCCCACACTCTTGAGGAAAACCCACTTCATCAATGTGGACCGAGGTTGCTTATAATAACCTGGATGATCAAATAATCTAGTCATATCCTACCAGACAACAACTAGACAAAATAATTAAAAAAAAAATAGTTTATTTTGGGTCATAATAATATGTATATTTATTTTTTAAAGTATATAATAATATCTTGTTTAGCAACTGATTTTGCATAGTTCACTTCTCCTCACAAATGCTTCAAAACCCTCCATTTTCAATATTAACTCTTCTGCAATTCCATGGAGCTCCCTGTGTTTACGAGCTTCCGTTCATGGTCGAGGCTGGCCTCGTGCCCTTGCTCTTACAACTTCACCGTCGTCTTCAACAAATGCTCGTTTCACCGCAGAAACTTCAGCGTTGGATGGAATTTTGGCGGCCCGAAGCGCCATCTTCGAATCGCTGCTACTTCGGCGAAGAATTCTCCGTCAAATCGTTTCCGCGAAGCGGAAAGCGAAGTGAATTGTGGCGACTTTTGGAGGGATTCCGAGTTCCTCGAGGTGATTGGCATTGGTAGTCGAAAAGATGCGGTTCTCAATTTCTGTCTCGAATCGCCATTTCAGTCGTCGTCTCTGAGATACTGGTAAACCATTGTTCTTGTTTTCTGGTTTTCGATATTACACTCACCATTGAAGTGCCAGCACTGAATCTAGTTTTTGTGTGTGTGGTTTTTTTTTTTTTTTTTGCAGGAATATTGTTAGTAAGGATTCACAGAAGTTGCAATTGCAGCAAAGGGTCCTTGGAAAAGGTTTAATACTTCTTCAGCTTTATTTTATGTAAACATTACGTAGAATGTCTTTACTTTCAATTTTATGACCTCTAGTATCATTAACAAATTATGACAATAAGAATGTCGGAGTATGGTCATTGTGGTATCTATAGAGTTATTTCTGTTTCTGTTCTTTCTTTAGAAACAAAAAGGAGAAGAATTTTTATTTTCTTGAGCCAAATCTAAAACTTCTACTTAGCTATTTCTCTCTTTGTTCGTTTTCTATTGCAGATCCAAATCCCAGAACTTTTGAAGCTCAACTATCTTTAACATCAGCTTCAAAGACTATTATCCTTGTTTGTACATTTCCTACCCATTACTCTTGTATTGTTTTGGATGTTGCTAATATAACTTTGTATTGCTTATAATGAAGCTTGTTGGCTTCATTTTCTTGTATGTTTTACGTTCTTAACACTGAGAATATATATATATATATACTCTTTCAGAAAGTACTTTTATATGTTATGCGAATGTGTTAGAGTAAACAACCGTGATACTGTCCTCTTATCACCGTTATGCATACGAATATGAGGCTTACTTGTTTGCAGTTTAACCTTTACTGTAAAACAATTCAGTATGATGAATTAAAATGTCTTAACATTAAAAACATGGGTGTTGTACTGAGAATTCCTCACTTGTCTCTATCTGCCAATAATAAATGTGGTTTGAAAATTTTGACCTGTGCAATGGATTGATTTCATTTTTATTATGTCATGTTTTTTAATGCTTCCTTATCAATAGCATTTTCTTCCTTGCCTTTTTGTTGTCATATTCTTGTGGCAAAACATTGGTTCATCCTTTTGATTAAACTATATATATGATAAAAAGATATAAATATGATAAATGACTTTTGCTGCTACATTTCTCTAATTTGTTTCCTACATTAAACTCACTGGAAATTCTATTTGTCTGTTTCTTTTTCTCTAGGTGGCAAGTGCAGGTTATGGCATGGATTATATTCCAGCCATCAATATTCTTAAAACTATAAGATCTGCAAATGGGTTTACTGTTGCTATTATCTTGAAGCCATTCAGCTTTGAAGGACATAGGCGTCGGGATGAGGTAAGTGTGCAGTACGATTTGGGATTTCTGCTGTTACTTGCTGAGAAAATGAGATATTGAATTGATTACTCTGATTTGTGAATAAGATTCTTTTTCTTTCAATATTGACTTCTGGAGGTGATATTGGAATATTAGAGTTAGCACTTGGAAATGGACTTGAATATTTTAACATTTTCTATGTTTGTTCGCAGGTCAAAGATCTGATGGAAAAACTTAAGGAGCATACTAATTTATTTATCGGTGAGTAGTGTGTTTGAACTTCTGTTTCTTGAGAGAAAAATTGAGAAAAACGGAGGGGGCACAGCATCATAATTGCTAGACCTGCCATTTTCTTATCCTTAAACTAAACGAGGTGGAGGAATGACATGTTTATTCTTTTTGAACTCTTTCACCAGGAATTTGGAAAGATGAATAAAATATAATAGTAGAATAATACACACATTGTTCTTTAATATACAAGAAACTGACTTTATTAATAGGAAAAGGCAGAGAAAAGAAGATGGCAAACTGTTCTTAAGAGAAAAACACAGGAACAAACATAATAGTTAAATAACTAATATGAATTTCTCCTTCCTCTTTTATTTCCATCAACCAAAGAACTGAAGAAAAGAGCGAGCACCTTCCATTTTATATGCCTCTACGTTTCTTCCTTTCTGTTTAACATGGTGATAGTCTGATAGAGCAACACTTGAATATGCATGTTTCAAGATTTGCCTAGTATAGCAGCAGTGAAGGATGGAATATGTGGGTATTCCCATTATCTTTTGTTAGTTTTCTTATAATTTGAGTTGATGCCGATAACAAGAATGTGATATATTTTAATTGCTTGCTTCCGGCTACTTGGAAAGATTGTCATAATTTCTGACTCAATCAGACATCAAAACTGACAAAACGGGGAAAAAAAGAGTATTATAGGAAAGCCTAAACGAATTGCTGTGGATGATGAAATGTTCATATATTCTTGAAGCTAATGGATGCTAACAAGTGAAAAATTTCAGGATGGAAATGCAAATTTTGTTTTCGTGAGAATTCCGTCATTTTTCCTTCAAATTACTACTTGCCCCTTTCTTTTGGCATCAATTACAAACAAATATGGCTTTCTGTTGAGTTTTTCTTGCTAGTCGAACTGCTAATTGCTGTTTTATATCTGCAGATCTAGACACGGACAAGCTACTGAAAAAGGACTTGGTCACTCTAGATGAGGCTGTAAAGACTGCAAATAATGCTGTGGTGATGGCCGTTACTGCTGTATCTGTTCTTAAATCTGTAAGTTTACTTCTGGACAATCTTTCTGACTTCTCAAGGTCGTGATACCATCACTCAACTTGATTATTACTAATAACTCCTAGGATATGCACAGAAGACTTACTGGTGCATCATGTAATGATGTAAAGGATATTGAAATCTCAGAAGTTTTTCATGTAAGTGTCCACAATCATCTCTTCTTTTTGCAGTTGATTACTTGTTCTTATCTAATAATTTCATTTTTCTTTCTTAGGTTATTCTACATTATATCATATTCTTTATAATTATTTTTTTTAAATAAGAAAAACTTTATTGAATATCATATTCATTATAATAAGGGTTAATTTCAAATTGTTCGCCGAAGATTATGGGTTATCTCACTTTGCCTCCTAGAACTCAATATAGTGCAGTCCTCACCCAAGGCCCAGCTTATCACAAGTTGCACCTCATGTACTTCCGTTATTGTGGCGTCAATTTTTTTAACAGTTTCAATTAAGTTTGCTCGTTGGGTGACCCATATGTGATTAAAACCATTAAAGAATTGCCTTGCACCAACCATTCATGTAACCCACACATGTTTAAAAGCGTCTAAAAAATTGATGCCTCAATGATAGAAGTACGAAATTTGCAACTTATGATAGGCTTGGGCGAGGTTTTGTTCCATTTTTAGTTGTAGGGAGCAAAATGAGAACTTCTATTCGTCGGGCCAAATTTGAAATTAACCCTCATTTAGTTAATTGTGAGGTTATTTATTTTTACTTATTAGTCATGAGGTTAGTCTTCTGAAATTTATAGGCGCAAGGAATTAACATTAACTCCCACCCTTCCCCAAATTTTCGTATTGTTACTTCTTTTCCTTCTTTTATTCCTAGCCCTTTTATGTGGCAAGTGCAACCATGTGCAGATTCTGGAAAGCTATAAAGAGGCAAAAATTGGTTTTGGTGCTGGTTACAACATGAAAACTTCAATTTTACAGACTATGTACGATTGCCCTTTCCTTGATGTTGCTGTTAAGGTATGATCAACTGGGGATCATAGTGCAGAAGATGTGTATTACTATGTTATTTGAGTTTTATCAGCTGTCATGGTCTTGTATACCTTCCTTCTTCGTATTCTTTTATAGAACTCCTCTTATTTTCAACTTCAGTTCATATACCAATTGACCTTTCCTCGATGTTGCTCTCAAGGTGTGATTGACTTGGGTTAACGTACAAGATGTGTGTTACCATGTTAATTGAGTTGTACTTGTTGTCATGGCGTTGTGTACTTTCCTACTTCATTTTCTTCTTTTCTGGAATTCCTCTTATTTTTTACTCCGGTTCATATGCAGCAGATGTATAGTACTATTTAATTGAGTTGTATCCGTTGTCATTGATATTATACGTTTCTACTTCATTTTCTTACTTATTGGTTCTTCTCTCATTTCAAAATTCATTGTTTTCAATGGAATTATTTATTTCAATATTACCCTGTTTTGCGTTTCAACACATGTATTTTCCCGAGGATATCTCTTCCTTTTCTCCTTGTAACTAAATCATCAATCAAAGGATTTTTTCTTATAAAAAAAAAAGGGGGAAAAAAAAAAAACCCTTCCCATGGTGGTTGTCTAAAAGCTCTCGAATTGATGAAAATGCACTCTTTGAATTTCTTTGTTGGTAATTTGTACTGATCTGGGTCACATAGCGTTTTGTTTCCTTTTTAGTTTTAGACCACTTTACTTTCATAATTTCTTGGTGTGATGTGTTTTCTTTGTTTTTGTAATGTCTTCATCATTGATGGCTGGCTCATCATTTTATACTCATATAGCTTCCAATATTATGCATTAATGCCCTCAACGTTTATCATTATGGTGTTTTGACAAATGTTTTAAGTATCTTATTTTCTTAAGCTCATTTAATTTTTTTTTCATTGTGTAGGACTTGGATGGTATAATTATCTGCACTCTTGCAAGTTCGGATGTCATAAAAAAAGGGGATTTAGATGTTTTTTTGCGTACTTTCCGTCAAACTACAGAATATAGAAAGGAAATCTTATTAGCTACCATTCATGAACCCAGTCTGGAGCCCAACCTGCTTGTAACGACAGTTCTTGTTGTAGGGTAAGATTCTTGTTCAGGATGAGAAAACTTATGGAAAGGTGAAACCTCATAAAGTGTGAAAGTCTGAACCATTTCTCTAAGAGGCCATGTTGCTAGTTCCCTAATAGAATAAAAGAAATAATATATCAATAAAGCATTTTCTCCCAACTTTTTGGATGTTTGAGCATTTCTGAAAAAAATCCCTTAATCATTTAGAGCTGGAGATCTCTAGAAACCAGTTCATTGAAACACATTTGTCTTGAAATTGTAATACATAATTATCCCGGTTGAAAACAAGATTAGTCATTGACCGTTTCTTGTTCACTGTGTTTTTATTTAACTTGAAAGGTGCATATGCTTGTAAAAGCTTATGGGCTGTTTGGAAGTGTTTTAAAAAATTACGTGTTATGTCAGTTTCAGTTGCTTTCTAACAAATGACGCGTAATGATTATATCTTTCTACGTATTCGAATTTCAGTTTTTGGTTTTGAAAAGTTGTTAAAAACTTGACACTCTAAATAGATTTTTTTTATGCATTTGAATTTGAGTTTTAGATGCTGAAAAATTACTCTAAACTCCTTAATTTTATGTTTTCTTCTCCTCCCAATTTTTCTTCATCAATGCTCCCCTCTCTCCTCTCTCAATGCCCCTACTTTTATTTCTCTCCTCTATGTTTGCTCCATTTCCTTCCCTTTCCCATTTTTGCTGCATCTGTTGTGATACCAGTTCTAGGTTTTTCTTTACAAAATTTGTTTTGTGCTTTAGTAAGTGGAATGTTCTGCTTGTGTGCTTCTGGCTATAAAATAAATTTTGACTAGTTTATGTATTTATTTTTTTTTCTGACATGTATTTTATGGAATTACCAGTTCTACTGGACAACAGGTATCGCAAAAGAGTAGCATATTAACCAGGTTGGCTCAGCATTTTCCGTTCATATTCAGATTTTTTAGGAGATCCCATCTTCAATCAAGTGAAACTAAGGAGAGTAGTGTGCTTGAGGGGGGACTTACTACTGAAGTGATTAGAAATACAAATGATGTTGATGTCATTGCTGAAGGTTCGGACAAGTACTCTGAAAAATTTCAGATGATTTTGAACAACTACAATGAATTCCATGATTCAAGGTTTAGCTACTTTTTTTTGCTTTAAATCTTATCTTACTGAACTTTACGTGCTATCCAAATTGTATTCAAGTCTAATATTTGTTGATGTCTGGAATATGTTGTGTTAGTGAATTTGAATCAAGTGAGGCTGAATTCTTTGACGCTGCTACTGACTCTTCCAGTTTTCACAATCCCAGCACTGAAGGTAGCTACTAAGTTTTTCTACTATTTAGAACATGAATATTCAGTTTAGGGTTTGGTGTGCCTAAGTGTACTGCCATTTAAAAGTAAAAGAATTTTTCCTTTCATTGGATCTAATTGTGGTTAAAAAAATTTTATCAAGAAACTTCTGCTTTTCAAAGAGAGGAACTTGTTGGTTGGAACTTGGGTCTGGGTTATCAGATTGCACAGGAGTGGGCTAAAGAAAGGGCTGCTGAAGCTGAAGCCACTTCAACTCTTGATAAACTAAGCATCTTTTGCCTTCCAGTTGGTGTGAGGCCTTCACAAGAGTTGAAAGATAGAATCAATATCTCATCTTCAACACAGCTCCCAACACTGAAGACCAAGGATGTTGTCGAATTAAAATCAAGTGTCAATTTAAGTACACGTTCTTGGAATGAGTTGACTGACACAGGACTTGAAGCAGTAAGGGATTTTTATAATACAGCCTCAGCACTGCTAAAAGGAAACTCTAATGAATCCCCTAAAAGGGAAGGACTTCTTTCTGCTCGTGCGGCATCTATGCTGGTATTATGCTACTTCTAACTTTTGTTCTTTATTGATTTTAGATGGTATGCTGATTTCTTAAAGTTCGTTGTTTTGAGCAGTGACCTGCCTAGTTTTATTTCAATTTATGTGTAGTTTATACGTCTGACAGCCAAGTTGGATTTAGTTTCCTTGTCTTTTTTTTTCAGTATATGATATATAATCCGTAGTGTGCTGATACCAAACAAGTGTTTCAATCATCAATCCCCCTTGCACATGCAAATTCTTTTATGTTATAACCATGCGTTCTAAAGCTTGATCACTAGTGCAATTCCTGTTGGAAGATCGTGATAGTTTTTTGTAATATAGTTTCCATAAATCGGACTATATAGCTGCAAGCCTGCAATATATGGTGTAAATTATCCAGGTTTAGATTAAGGAGAAAGAAAAGGAGGGCCGGGCTTGTAGTGGATGAGTGCCCATTTTTCATTTTTTTTTCTCAAGTCTGGAACATTTTTTGCACAAAGCTGCGACCACTTGATTCAATAATTCGACTTTGAAACCTACAACATTGATTGGACAAATAAAATTTTTCAAAATGACCGTCCAATGTCTGAAAAAAAAAAAAAGACAGAAAAAGGTTCATTTTACCTTCCAGACAATGTATTATAATTAAACATTATGTTATCATCTATTTTTGTATCGCAGTTGACTTGTTCTTGTACTTTTCAGAAGTTGAACATTAGTTTTAATTGTCCGGTATAATTGCAGGAAGCTGAACGAGATTCTCCAAAGCAGTGGAGTCCTATAGTGGAGATGAAATATAGAGGAGGAATTTACAAAGGACGATGCCAAGGAGGTCTTCCTAAAGGAAAGGTACTTATTGCCGATAACTTTAAAAAACTCAGTTAAACTAAATTACAGCATGGTTTTTTTCCTGAAATTGATCTAAAGAATAATAAGGCAACTATGAGATTTATACAGGGTCGTTTGGTTCTTGGAGATGGAAGTATATATGACGGAATGTGGAGATATGGCAAGAAATCAGGTTTGGGTACATTCTACTTCAGTAATGGCGATGTGTTCCAGGGGTCATGGAGAGATGATGTTATGCATGGCAAGGTTTGTCTCTTTCATTTAATGTGACTTGTGTTCATAGATAGCTTCTTTGACACACACACACTGTACATGAGAAATGAAAACAAAAAAAACAAAACAAAAAACAAAACAAAACAAAAAAACAGAGAGAGAGAGAGAGAGAGAGTTCCATCCAAAATAACACACACACGTGCGCGCACTTGTACATAAGAAATGAAATTTTAGTAAAAGCCTTTTCTCTCAGTGAGTACACTTTCTTTTCCTACCAATAATGGAAGATTAATTAGCATTTTTTCAGTTGTGTTTCCTTTTTATGGTTTTGCAACATCTTTCATTAATTGATTTATGAAAATTATTTGTTATTTGGATGGGAGGGCAGTAGAAGTGGTTTTTGGGTGTCCATTTCTTGAGGCTAAAATCATCGTGTTGTGTACTAGTCTTTGAGGCCAAAACCTGCAGTGTCTTTGTGTTTATAATATTCATGGCTGATGATGACGTTTTTTCCTTTGTACTGTACAGCTAACCCCCTATATAAGTGGATACTAGAAACTACCCCCTAAGGAATTTTTTGTCTTTTATCCTTAAACCGTCTCTTTGGGTCATGTAGGGTTGGTTTTACTTTCACACTGGAGATCGATGGTTTGCAAACTTCTGGAAGGGAAAGGCAAATGGCGAAGGTCGCTTCTATTCCAAGTCTGGTGATATCTTTTTTGGTTATTTCCAAAATGGATGGCGACATGGCGAGTTCATTTGTATTGATGTTGATGGGAGAAGGTCAGTTCACTCTGTTATGTGTGTTTTTGTTTTTCCAACTCACTGGTGATTTCTCGGACCTTGGTATTGCTTGATAGCGGCTCACCTCGACTTTTTACCTGGATATTAAGTCTTATCTATTGAGGATTAATTTCCATAGTTGAATCGCAAGAGGCTTTCCATGAGATGTAGTTGTAATCCCCCCCGCCTTCCATTTAGTCCTTGTGATACCAGCAATGTCCTTGTCTTCACTCAGAAGTCCTCTATTTATTTGTCTCAATTGTGTGGCCTTAGTTACTGGATAAATTTCTGGTACGAAATACATGCATGCATTTTAATTTCAGCTATGCTTCAATAACATAGCTGTAATGTTGTGCACATTATTTACCTAATTGTTTTGTATACGATCATATTTGAACATGACATACATAGATCTTTGCTTTCAGTATTGCATAATCACCATGCTTATAGGGGTAATGCTTTTCTGAAATTTTTGCATGTTAAAATTTATTTTGTTGCTTTCTCAACTTTCTTTGGTGATCTCATCTGATGATTACTTATCATTTGATAAAACAATAATAATAATGGTAATAATAATAATATTAACAATAACAACGACAACGATAGCAACAATAACAATAAATTCTTAGTACTAATTTTAATTTCCTGAAAACTACTATAATCCATTTTGATTAATTTTCTTCACAGTAATTATCTTAATTGCTATTAACATAATTATAGTAAATACAAATTTTTTAAAAAAAATTGAAAATACAATATTACCAAGTGTATTTTTGCAACAGTTCATTATGATTTCGGTTGTACGTATTATATGGGATTTGTAATGATTCCAATTTTGATTCTTGACACCTGAGTCGATAATCTATTGTGACATAAAACTTTCACTCTGAATCCTCTGTAAACATGCCCTAATCCTGTGTTCAAGTTGTATGATTTGCTGCTGCTTTTCTTTTTTCTTTTTTTTTCTTTTTTTTAATGTAATCCCCTCTTCTGCAGGTGTGTTGAGAACTGGGATGAAGGTATTCTTGTAAGCCGTAGCCCATTGGACTCTTGACGTCAGTAATATAGTGTTAATTCTTAATATATACATGTGAGCAGGGCTATAGTCATTATTGTTTTGTATATTATTCTTTGTCCTCTAGCGATAGAAAGAAGCGGGGGTGTAAATATGCAAAGTGAGTCTGTTGTAGCGGATATACGCAACAATGGGTTTTTTCTTTTCTCTTATTTTTATTATCATTTCATGAAGATCAATCTCGAGTTATAATGTAAGGACGATTCTTGTCATCTTTAATCCTTGATGAAGTGAAAAATTCCCTTAATCCTTGGTGGGAACAAAAGTCTTATGTTTTTCTTACTTTTTCCCATGTTGTAGATACTAGATATGATCGACGTGAGGCAGAATGATGATTAAGGTAAAAATTTGTAGAGGGTGGTGGGTGCATCTTAAATCTTAAATCATACATATATAAAAGATCCTATCCTTACCTAACTTTATATTTTGTAGTCGTCCGAAACGATTCGTTTTGGTCCCTCTGTTTTTGTTTTTTAGTTGTTTGTGTCTTTTATTTATTTTTTTATTCTTCTTTTTTATTTATCATTTTGTTCGTCTGTTTTTCTTTTCTTTCCAAACATTTAAATTAAAGAAATGACGTGTTAGGAATAAAGGGGGATTATGGACTATCATATGTTCCCTTTCTGGTATTTTTATCGTAATTCTAATATTAAATCTTAATATAAACCTTATCTTATTCAAATTTTAAATGCTAAATATATAAGAGTAGATAAGAATTATATTGTTTCTTTTGGTAATGTTTTACACACTATTTTGATGCCCCTCTCTCTCTCTTCTTCTCTGTCTCTTTTTTTTTATGCAGGTTAAATCTTAAATCCTAATCGTAAATTCTAAATATACAAGTGAGTGAATATGAGGTTATTGTTATCTCAGTGAGTTTTATGTGCTTTCTTTTTTTCTTTTCTTTTTAAGTTCCAACTTTTTTTATTATTATTTGTTGTCTTATAATTTAGAATACTTCATGTATTAATTTTTACGTAAATAGTAAAAAATAGGCCAATATGAAAAGTTTAAGGAAGTATATAGGCTAACTTTTAGTCATAAAAATTAATAGGCCATAACTTGTCAAGCTATGGTTCATAGTCAGATAGTTATAGACAAACTTGTCAAGTTATGGTTCATAGCCAGACAAGTTATGGACAAAAATCGTAATTTATGGACAATAACTTGTCAAGTTATGGTTTATAACCAGACAAGTTATTGACAAAAACAGTAATTTTGCCTATTTATTAACTTATGTAAATTATTAGCCTATTAATTTTAATTCATCTCAAGTCTTGGCCTATTTCCTTCTTTCTCCCTAATTTTTATGGTCAAATGAAACCTTTTGATTTAAACTACTAATAACGTATCCTCTTTAAAAAAATAAAAAATAAAAAGAAGTGTGGGGATTTAAACTCTACATCTTATAGTGGAATTATGAGTTTAATTTTTTTAAGATACGCCCGATACATAATCTTTTAAAATCTCTAAATAGAATCTTTCTATTTTTTTTATTTTTTTTTGCATATTATTGTTTGTATTCGCTGTTATAAAAACTTCAATTATAACTCAATATGTGAGTCACACGTACTAAAATTAGTATATATAAAAGTGGCGAAGCAGCTTCAAAGGTTTCATTCTTAAGTGAGGTGGAATGAAACTTTTTCGTCCTGTTTCTAAGTCAATTTACTAATAATTTATTATGATTTGTTACCGACACAAAATCATTTTCCTAATTTTTCCAAACTTCGACTAAAGTTTATTAGAAAAATATCCAAAACAACGATTTTTTTTCACATATCCAAAAATGACATTCACGAAAAATGAGGTGAATGGGGCACCCAAACGGGCACACAGAATATTAAAGGGCATACAAGATTGGAAGATAAATTGGTAAGTTGCACTTTTTTTGAGTGATATGCCACTGAGATTCGACAATTAAAGTCATCTCTTTTAGACTTAGTAAGGATTTGGTTATTTTGTAATTATTCTTGGTTAAGTGGGTTAGTCAACCCGTGTATGTATAAATAGTGCTTTACCAATGTATTTTGTACACAAGTTCATTATTCTAATGAAAAGTGATTTTTCCTTCTTCATTTGCTTTTGCTTCCGTCATATGGTATCAGAGCAACTATTTCGCTGCTCAATCTCGATTCTCCTTCGTCTCGATTCTTGATTCTCGATTCTCGATTCATCTTAAATTCTTGTTTTCTTTTCCTTTGATTCCGACTGAATATTTTGGAATTCTTCGATATTCCTCTTTCATTTCTATGGATATTCCAAGTTCTGGAAATTCCTCTACTCCGTCAATCGGTAAATCCGCCATTGATGATCCTCTTAATCCGTTCTATCTCCATCATTCCGATAGCCCAGGCCTTGTTCTCGTTTCACAGCTGCTGACGGGAGATAACTACGCCTCCTGGAGTAGAGCAATGCTGATTGCTTTTTCTGTGAAAAACAAATTAGGATTCATCGATGGCTCCATTCCTAAACCTGGAGGTAATGATCTGAATCTTCTTAATTCATGGATTAGGAACAATAATATGGTGATTTCTTAGATTCTGAACTCTGTGTCGAAGGAAATTTCTGCTAGTATTATTTTCTCTGAGTCTGCTTCTGAAATCTGTCTCGATCTTAAGGATCGATTTCAACAGAGTAATGGACCTAGGATTTTTCAATTACGTCGTGAATTGGTGAATCATGATCAGGATCAAAACTTTGTTAGTGTGTATTTTACAAAGCTGAAACTTTATGGGAAGAACTCGGCAATTTTAGACCTGTTTGTAATTGTGGAAAGTGCACATGTGGAGGAGTTAAGGAGCTGAATTCTTATTATCAAATGGAATACACTATGTCGTTCCTCATGGGCCTTAACGATTCTTTTGCACAAGTAAGAGGTCAATTGCTCTTGATGGATCTTATTCCACCCATTAATAAGGTTTTCTCCCTGATTTCTCAAGAAGAACGTCAGAGATCAATTGGACAGCAAAATCTAGGCACTAATTCTGCTAATGGGATGGCTTTTGTTGTTAAAAATGATGGTTTCAAAGGCTCTGTTGCTAACGTTGACAATCGATATGCTGGAAATAATAAAGGTATGAAGAAAGACAGACCTTTTTGCACCCACTGCAATTATCATGGTCACACAATTGAAAAATGTTACAAGTTGAATGGCTATCCACCTGGCTTCAAGCAACGACCAAAAAGTCAGCCTACTAATCAGATGGTGGCTGTTAATCAGCTTTCTAACCAGCCCAGTCTGCCTGAGAAAAGTGACAGAGACACTAGAGGAACTGAGACTTTCTTCCAGAGCCTTGACAAGAACCGGTACCACCAGCTGATGGCCATGTTTGCTAGCCACCTGTCCTCCTTTGCTATGACCAGTGAACATCAAGATGCTCCTACTACTTCTTTCACAGGTACATGTTTCTCTGTTTCTGTGATATCTAAGTTGTCTTCTTCAGACTATTGGATAGTGGATTCCAAAGCTTCTAGGCATATATGTTCAAATGCTAACGTTTTTCTCTCTTTGAGGCCTTTAAAGAACTCTACTGTCACCTTGCCAAATCATACACATGTGGCTGTTCATTTCTATGGTGATGTCCAACTAAACCCTCATTTGTTATTGAGAGATGTCCTGTTTATTCCAGAATTCAAGTTTAACTTGCTTTCTGTGAGTGCTCTCATAACATATGTGAGTCTTACTATCAGTTTCTTTCATGATCACTTTATTATTCAGGAAATCAGCTCCAGGAGGATGATTGGCAAGGGTGAAAAGCTGCAGGATCTTTATATTCTTAACACAGACAAATTTGGTGTAGATTCTTTTGTTAATAATGTTTATGTTCATGTTTGGCACAATCGACTTGGTCATCCATATTACAAGAGATTGGATACCTTAAAAAGTCAATTGCCTTGTGATGTTACCGAGATTAATAAAACTGATCCTTGCTACATTTGTCCTTTAGCCAAGCAAAGGAGATTACCTTTTATTTCTCATCATCACATGTCTCAGTTTGCTTTTGACTTGATTCATTGTGACATCTGGGGTTCATACCATGTGCCTGCTCCTTCTGGTCATAGGTATTTTTTAACCCTGGTTGATGATTATACCCGTTTTACTTGGGTTTTTCTTCTTAAAAACAAGTCTGATGTGTCAACAACAATTCCAAGATTTTTCCACATGGTCAATACTCAGTTTAACAAGAAAATCAAGGAATTCATGTCTGATAATGCCAAAGAGTTACCGTTCACAGATTTTTTTTCATGAACATAGAGTCCTACATCAATTCTCCTGTGTGGACAGACCGTAGCAAAACTCTGTGGTTGAGAGGAAACATCAGCATTTATTAAATGTTGCTCGAGCGTTATATTTTCAGTCTCGGGTTCCTATTCAGTTTTGGAATGAATGCATCTTAACAGCAACATTCTTGATCAATCGAACACCTTCTCCTTTGCTTACAAACAAAGCTCCATATGAACTCTTATATGAGCGTTCTGTTGATTACTCCCTTTTAAGGGTGTTTGGTTGTCTTGCTTTTGCCTCCACCTTACCTGGCCACCGAGCAAAGTTTCATCCGCGAGCTCGAGTTTGTGTCTTCTTAGGTTATCCTCCTGGTATGAAAGGATATAAGTTGTATGATATTGCACAAAAGCAGGTCTTTGTCTCCAAGGATGTCGTATTTCATGAAGAAATCTTTCCTTTTCACTCTGTTATTGCTGAGGACTCTTTAATTGATCCATTTCCTGATCTTGTTCTACCACAGCCGCAAGTTGAGGTTCCCTTTGAAGATCCACTTCCGGTTCTTCCTTCGGATCTTTCCTCCCTTCCATCTATAAGACCTTCTCCTTCCCACGAGCCCTCGCCCTCAACGGGTGTTGTTGCTCTTTGGAAGTCTTCACGGTTACATCAACCTCCTTCCTATCTTCAGGACTTTCATTGTAATTTACTATCTTTCAATTGTCAAGCTGATTCTCTTCCTTCTAGCAGTTTGTATCCTTTGGCCAACTACTTGTGTTATGATTCTTTGTCTGCATCTCACAAGCACTTGGTGTTGCAAGTCTCCTCACATTTTGAGCCTCAATTTTATCATCAAGCTGTTAAGTTTCCACAGTGGAGGGAAGCCATGAAGGCCGAATTGGATGCTATGGAAACCAATCACACTTGGTCCGTTGTTCCCTTGCCTGCGGGGAAACATTCCATTAGCTGCAAATGGATTTATAAAATCAAGTATAAGTCTGATGGTTCTATGGATAGGCATAAAGCCCGATTAGTTGCCAAGGGCTACACTCAACAAGAAGGTGTTGACTTTATTGAAACCTTCTCTCATGTTGCAAAGTTGGTTACTGTTAAGGTTTTGTTGGCCCTTGCTGCTAGTCAGAATTGGCATCTTGCTCAACTAGATGTGAATAATACTTTTCTCAATGGGGATCTATTTGAGGAAGTTTATATGGACTTGCCTCTTGGTTATGTTACTCAGGGGAAGAACTTTCGGCAATAGGGTAAGATGGTTTGTAAGCTTCATAAGTCCATTTATAGACTTAAACAAGCCTCTAGACAGTGGTATTCTAAGTTCTCACATTCCCTTATCCGGTTTGGTTTTGTTCAATCCAAATCCGATTACTCCTTGTTTACCAAGGGCTCTGGTTCTTCCTTTGTGGCCTTATTGGTTTATGTGGATGATATCATCATTACAGGACCATCACTCTCTACCATAGATTCTTTGAAATTATTTCTTCAAAGTCAATTCAAGCTTAAGGATTTAGGTCCTTTGAAATATTTTCTTGGTCTTGAAATAGTAAGGTCTCACAAAGGCATTGTTCTTTCCCAGCGACACTATACTCTACAGTTGTTAGAGGACACTGGTTTTCTGGCCAGCAAGCCGTCCATTGTACCTATGGATCCAAAATTTAACTCAGTGCCACTGATGGAGAGCTCCTCTCGGATGTATCTCAATATAGGCGCCTTATTGGTAGGCTTCTGTACCTCACTTTGTCTTGGCCTGATATTACCTTTGTTGTGCACAAGCTCAGTCAATTCCTGGCACAACCACGAGTCCCACATTTGGCTGCTGCTCATCATCTTCTTCGATATCTCAAGTCTGCTCCCGGTCAAGGTTTGTTCTTCTCTGCTTCTTCTTCCCTCCAGCTTAAGACTTTCTCTGATGCAGATTGGGGTTCTTGTCCAGATACCAGGAAGTATGTCACTGGTTTCTGTGTATTTTTAGGGGAGTCTTTAGTGTCCTAGAAAGCCAAGAAACAGACTACCATTTCTTGGTCTTCTGCTGAGGCTGAATATCGCGCCTTAGTTGCTGTCACTAGTGAATTAACTTGGCTAACATAGTTGCTGCAGTGTTTTACTGTGACACTATCTCCACCAACCCTTCTGTTCTGTGATAATCAAGCCGCGATTCACATTGCCACCAATCCTACATTCTATGAACGGACTAAGCATATTGAGATCGATTGTCATTTTGTTCATGATAAGATTGTGGCTGGACTTATCAAGCTCATGCCTATTCGCTCTGAGCACCAACTTGCAGATATGTTCACCAAACCGCTGCCTGCTGCATTGTTGTCCTCACTTTTGTCCAAGATGGCTGTCAAGAATATTTACAATCCATCTTGAGGGGGAGTTTTAGACTTAGTAAGGATTTGGTTATTTTGTAATTATTCTTGGTTAAGTGGGTTAGTCAACCCGTGTATGTATAAATAGTGCTTTACCAGTGTATTTTGTACACAAGTTCATTATTCTAATGAGAAGTGATTTTTCCTTCTTCATTTGCTTTTGCTTCCGTCATAATCTCTGAAGAGCTATACTAGAGATGTCTTGTCATCTTTGTTCAAGAAGAAAAAAGTAGTACCGAGTGGCATAAATTTTGAGTTTATACCACTAAACGGTATAAATATAAAGATGACATTGGAGTGATGTTTTAATATTTTTTTCCTAAAAAACGTAATACTTAATAGATTTATTGTCATGTTACTAAGGCTCTTTTCTTGTTTAAAAAGGGAAAAGGAAAAGTAGTCAAAATTTTTAACGTTCAACATTGCCGAGGGGCAAGGGCAAATGGATGGAAACCTCATTAATGAAGTTGTTGTAGGGAAATTGTATTATTTGTCTCCTTGACGTATAGACTCTACTAACATGTCAAATAATGAATACATAAAATAACCCAAAAAAAATAATACTAGCATTTCTCATAACTAGCGAACTAGAAAAAGTATCCTAAACTTCCAACAATAACTAAAGAACGCCCAAAAGAGAGATTGAACAGAGAGAATATCCCACATTTGAAAAGAAATCTAGAGAGCTTTTTATTTTATTTTATTTTATTTTGTGCCAAACAGAGTAGTTAAAAAATTGAAACCAAAATCTTCCACAATGTTTCTGAAGAATAATGCTACTTTTTCAAGTACAGGAAGTAACAATACTGCAAGTAAAACATTTTCTAAACAACAAATTCCAGGAGGGAAAAAAAATGTTCATGTTATCTTGGTTAGCGTACTTGATTTACAAAAACTATCTTAGCACGTTACCAACGTCCTCAAAGGAAAGTTCAGCCTCGATGATGGTACTCCAAAACAAGCGTAAATTCTGTCATTTACGTAAGCAAAAGGCTCTCTCTTTTGGTTCTAAAGGCGTTTTCTCTTCCAAATGATATCATTTTCCCTCTTCAAGAATTCTATTAACACTTCAGAGAGCTCATCCCTCGTTCTCGGTGGGACTTGGGGAGACAGCAACAAACAAGCTCATCAACACCACACAGGACGTTTTTCGATATGGTGAACTCGAAAATTCAAACCTCCCCGGACCATATTGATGAGTTTACTCCATCGTGCAAAGCATGCGAATTTTCTGGTGGGGAATCATAGCGTTGAAGAGAATCAAGGCTGAAATGAAGTTGCACAAATCATAAAGGGAAAAAAAAAAAAAAAGGAGATCAGAATAACAGTAGCTGAAGATGAATATTTCAGAAAAAGAGAGACGTAAATCTATGATAACGAAATTAATCGAGCCAAGACGTGCTCGTCTTACCTGCAATTTTCAGGAACCCTCCAGGATATGTCCGGGGATCTCTTCCAACTTGGTGGCAAAGACACAAAAATTTTCCAGTCCTCGAGCATAATTCTAAGGTCATGAAGCTTGCTACTCAAACCAAAACAGCAGTTAGCATGCATTGTACAAACTTGATTCAGATCTCTGCTAGGCTCGCAAAGCCCGCCAAAGTAAGCGGTATCCAAGAATCTAATCTTCAGTCCAGAGCTCGTGATGAAAGGATCAAACTTGATCATATTGAGAACAGCCTGATCATGGTATCCGGGATAAGTTTCCCGAGAAGAGTACCAAAACTTGTAGAAATTGATTGTCATATTGTTGGACTTGACATAGGAAAATCCTCCATTGGGCTTGTTATGTATATTATAAGAGCTACCGAAGAAATGGTCACATGCGATCTGGAAATCTGCATGCACGTAAAACTGAGGAAATGGATCCCTGAACCACATGATATCAGCATCCTGAAATAAAAAAATAATATATACACACACACACACATATAGGGGCATTCAGATAAGATGGAACAGAAAGATAAATAGAGCAAAGGGGTAACAGTTTGTACAGGAAACGTAATGTAGATTATAGTGCGGAAGTTTGTAGATAGCTTTTCTACAGGCAGACGCATGCTTTTTCACTTTACACTAATATCCCAAACAAGTTGCGACTGAATCAACAAATGAAATAGTATGGACAAGCAATTATCATTGGGTTAGATCAGAGTCAAATCTATTTTGTATTTCCTTTTCCAAAGTACAACAGTAAATCCTTGCCCCTACAGGCTGTAGGGCCATAACTATAATGTTGCTTAATTTCATTTCACATATTTCCCACTGTAATAACAAACTAAATTTAGAATCAACAGTGAAATAAGACAAGAACAGTCCACAAAAACAAGAAACCGGTATCACCGTTTCAATCTAAGTAGGTATATGCATGTAGATAAAAATAAGAGTAAATTGCACCGTTGCACCCAAAATTATACGTCTTCTGCATAATGCACCCTGAACTTTCAATTTTGACAAATTGCACCATGAACTTTATATCAGTTGTAATTGAGGTACAATAGCTAACAAATGTAATCAAATTGACGGTTTAAGACACGAGATTCACACATGAAAGGCAAAGATTGTCATTTTTCAAACCATGTCACATGTAAATCTCGTGTTTTTAACTGTCAATTTGATAACGTCACCTATTATTGGACTTCAATTGCAACTAATTTTAAAGCTCAGGGTGCAATTTTGCCAAAATTTAAATTTTAGGTCCATTATGCAAAAACTAAATAGTTTAGGGGTGCAATAGTGCAATTTATAATAATCTATGCAATTTATAATAATCATACAGTGCTTTCACAGGGAGAAATGCCACAACCAGATACTAAACTTTCTAGTTTCCTTTATAAAACCAAAACAAACATTTCTCAAATTCAAGTACCACGGAAATGGAGGCCAATGCACGTGAATACAAATGCATAGTTTTCTAGAATTTGTTACTTTGGTTTTTAAGATTCAATAAGCAACTAGTCTACCTAAAGATGTATGTGCCTATATCAAAGGCATAGGTGTTGGAGCTAAAAAAAAAATTGTCTAAGATATTAAATAAATGTCTTACCTGGAAAGTGATTGTGAAACAAGCCCAAAAGAAAACCGAAAAAGGACACATAGACCAGAAAAAAAAAAAAAAAAAAAAAAAAAAAAAAAAAAAAAAAAGAGGAGCAGAACAAATATTAAGCTAACCTACCTGCTCATTGCTATGCTGCTCTATGAGTAACCTTTTTCTCTGTTTTTCTTTTCCAATAATGAAAACAGCAAAGTAAAGAACCAAGTCAAATTATAGAAAAACGGGCTATGCTGAGAAAAATTGAGGTCGAAATTACCAACTCATAAGGCATATCAATTGGATGTATAACAAAACCAGGAGGATAAATAAAGGTTTAGAAATTTGAGTGCCAATAGCTCAGTACTTGTAAGTTTGTGAGAAATATGCTCCAAGTGAAAAAGAAATTACTGTAAAAACGAAGTTGTAGCCCATCTCCAGGACAGAGCGAAGAAAATCAATCCTTCTCCACATCATCTTCAAATAATCCGGAGTCATAAAATATGCCTCTTGATGGAAATCAACTCCTTCAGTTACAAGAGGAAAGCAATACTTGTGGACTTCCACACAACGTGTAAATGCCTTTTCATCCAAGGCAATAATAACCAAATGGTTCAACAGCTTAAAGGTGCCATTTCCAATCCTGAAACTCTCAAGAAAGAGATCGAGAACAGAATTTGAAGCTGCCCATGCTTCGTTTAATGTTGTTAAAATAACAGTATTGTCGAGCATGGAGGCATCCTTCAAAACTTTGTCAAGCGTAAATTCCTTGCTGACCTACCGGAGTTCAAATGGACAAGTATCAAAGCAAACATGCAATTGAGTTAGTTGAGCACAAAGTTAAGCCTATAAACTGAATGAAAGTAAAATAAAATGCAGGATTCATTCCTTAGCATGGTTAGCAACAAAGGGCGACAATGCTCCATAAACCATTCAAGAAAAAAGAGATAATTAATTCCAAACAGTTCCAAAATTGTTTGTCAATAAAAATAAACCAGCACATCTTTATATGGTAATTAGCACACTCGGGTCTAATTGTAATGGGAACTTGATGCATTTAGTAATATCAAGGTTAAATATGTTTTTACCATAATTAAGTTCAACATTATTCCTTCCTTAAATAACCCCACACCAAAGCTACTAAATAAATTCATTTCTACAAAGTTAAATTGTCATAATTATTAAATCGTCTGACAAATCTACAAAGTTACTCAAATAATCATTCATTTCTATACTTTCTGCATTAAAATTCCAACAGAAAACAAAATCTAAAGATTCTCTTAAATAATTATTCATTTATAAACTTTCTCCATTAAAATGTTAGAAAGTTGAATCCAAGGATATGATAATTTAATCACAACGCAAATTTTTGTCGTTGAAATCTTCCCACATGCACATCATTCTAAAACACAACACAAAATCTATCTTCACGCAATAATTCCTCTTATAAACAAAGCAGAGTAGAAGCAATTTACTATAAATTCGCGAATAATAATATTCTCTTTTTTTTTAATTCAAGAATAATAACATTCTCAGCCACAAGAAAACCAAGAACTAGCCAATGGCCAAGCAAAACTAAATTTCTTCTCTAATTTCTCGTTCTTCATCAAAAGGAACAAACTAAATCATGAGAAAACGATTCACATTGCAACATTCGTAAAGAAGGGAGAGAAAAAGGGACTAACGGAAGCGGAATCATCGAAAGGAAAGGCAACAGAAGAAGAAGACGACGAGAAGCTCTGGAGGTAGCGGAGAGACTCGGAGTTCCTGAAGAGGAAGAAGATGCAGAGAAACGCGGCGGTAGAGAAGAGCGCGCGGAGAGAGAGGAGCGCAGGGGGTTTCCGCCGCAGCATGTCGGCGACTGAAAGGAAGAGTGACCGGAATTCGCTCGGAGAGTCACCGGAAGAGACAGCCGGTGCCGGCGCTACTACCGCGTCCGGTTGGCGGGCATTTAGGGCTTGCGATCGTTGTTGTTAGACGTGTCGGTGATAGGCGTCAGCCATTGACACACTTTGCCAGAGCTTGAGTCTCTGAAACACTTTTGTGAGTGGTGATGCATGTGTGAGCACTGGTGTAGTTGTTTTCTCTTTAGTTTTTGTTTTTTACTGCACATTTTCTTTTTTTTTTTTTTTTTGTAATTGTGCCGGTCAAAATGACTTTTATAGAAGGAAAAATATAAAAATACCATTTTTCGTGTATCTGAGATTTTGTAATTGTGACGGTGAAAATGACTTTTACAGAAGGAAAATATAAAAATAACATTTATTGTGTATTTGAGATTCTGTAATTGTATGCTTGCAGATTTTACTTTTCTTATTATGAGTAAACTTTTTTTTTTTGTCTTTTTTCCGATGGTAATGGGCTTAATTCAAAATATGAGATGAATGGGCCCCCACCTACTGCATTGGTTGCACTCAACCAAAAAAGAACATGGATTTCTGACACAATTGCTTACAGAACTTGTCCGGATTTAATAAATTACTTCCTAAATTTTTATTTTTCGAACATATAAATTTATTATAATGTATTTCATTTAATTAAATTTATTTAAAATTTTTATTAGTTTAAGAGATTAAAAATTAAGATATTAAAAAATTTGTGTTATATTTAAATTAAAATGTTAAAATTTTTTACTAAACACCCTTTTTTAATACTAATTTAACAAAATCGTTGTTGAAGAACAAAATAATCGAGAAAATATATTAGTACGTATTGGTGATTCACGGACGAAGCAAGAAATATTGAGCTTCCAAAATCACAGTACAATATCTCAATAACCAAAACCTTAATTTAGAAATAAAATTGATATATAAGTATATATATACATATTAAACTGTCGGTTCATTACTCATTGATTATTTCAGAAAACGGTCATTTTATTAAAATAATTAATAAAAAAAGTTCGGTCATTTGTTTAAAATGATAGTAAAAAAAGAGTCAGTTACATAATTTTCTCGTAACGGATTTGATTTTCAACATTGAATCTCATGTCTTTTTAATTCACGGATTCGAGTTTTCAGTTCGCATATTTAAATTGAGATATAATTTTATTTAAAAGCTTTTTAATATAACAGAAAAAATTAAATATGACTTTTTATGAAAATTTTTAACTGTAATAAAATTAAAATTAAAAATTTAAATTAATAAAATAAACGGCTGTGTCTTCGTGATCCCAAAATTCATATATACAATTACAAAGAAAACTCTTGATGTGTCAGAAAAGGATTACATTTATCATGAGCTTAGACTAGTCATATCACATGTGATGCAGTTGGCATGCACACACACACACTGGGTCTTGATAGGGACGGTAATCTTGTATGCCCAAATTGTAGTGCATGGAAAAATATATATATATTTTTCTAATTTACACTCATGTCTCGTTTATTTCACCGATTTAAATTTTTAATTTTAGATTTTTATAGTAAAAAACTCTCAGAAAATATCACATCTAACTTTTTCTGTTACAGTGAAAAGCTCTCAAAAAATATCACATCTCAACTCAAATTAAAAACTCGAATTCGCGAAGTTAACGAGGCCTCATTCTAGATAATGTTTGAGCTATTAAGGGTACCAAATGGAATCACATCATTTAAGCTCTGTAATTATCAATTTAATCATAAAGCTGCAATCTTAAATTAGTTAAGCATCATAAATGTTTTCAAATTATCATACACTCACATAGCCAGTGCTTATCACAATTAAAATATTTAATATGAAGTTTCATTCAATCACAAGATGCCAGTAAGTTTGGTCTCAAAAATACTTCAGTTATGTTTCAGAAAAGTCAAACAAAAAAGTGCACCAGAAAGATGAAACAGGACACCCAATAGCTCTCTTTAGTCCAAAGCTCCTGAAATAAGATGCCTCCGTATTAACTAAACAAAAATCAATACTGAAAAGGATCAATGCAACATGTTCTTCTCTTTTCTTTTTTTGTTAGGCTATTATTTTCTTCTCTTTTTTTTTTGAAAAAAAAAGCAATTTCTTATTTAACATATGAAATGTATAGTATTAAAATTTGTGCTCAGTATTGCATATGATCTGACTAAATTGTTAGAAAACGAACGTTGTTCAGTCGTATTTAGCTCTAAGAAAACAAGGATAGAAAGTAGTAAAATTATTGCACTTCATGTGTCACATGATTTGAAATAAATGTAAGATTCTTATGGTCTGTTTGGTTTACACGGTTAAGTCAGTAATTCTGATTCTAAATTTAAATTTTATGAGAGAACTTATGAACGAGATCTTTTTTTATTCAATTTTTTTTGAAAAAAAAAAAAATATCCTACAGTACAATCAGAATCATGAATTCAAAGTGTGAAACAAACATGGCCATTAATTCTTTAAAAGTCAATCAGTATCTAAAGTACTTACCTGAATGTTCAGGTGACGTTGTAGGTGAAGATAGAAAGGGATTTGGTGGAAAAGGTAAGGATTGAAGTCCACTTTGCAGCATTTCTATGACACCGCTCATGGACGGACGATTTGAAGGATTGGTTTGAATGCACCACAAACTTACTAATATCATCTTTTTTGCAATTTCTTCCTCCTCTTCACTCTTAATCCCATCAAAATCTAAATCGCGACTTGCTTCAACATGCTTATAAATGTAGTGTGGAAAGTATATTCTGCTGATTTGAGACACGTTAGGATCCATATTTTTTCTCTTTCCGACCATTTCAAGAACCATCATTCCGTAGCTATATACATCTGACTTAAAAGAAACTCTTCCGAAGTGATTGGAACAGACTTCTGGAGCGATATATCCCCTAGTTCCTCGCGCACCTAACACAGACACAGTGCTTTGGTCCCTTTTGCTTAGCTTGGCGAGACCAAAATCAGCTATTTTTGCACAAAAGTTGTCATCCAACAAAATATTGTGAGGTTTAATGTCAAAATGCAAAATCCTCGTATTACAGCCTCGGTGTAGGTACTCCAATCCCCGCGCAATGCCGAGAGCGATTTCATACAACATCTTCCATTCTAATTGGCAACTGTTTGTATCCGAAGATCCTTGATTGTATATCAACTTGTCTAAAGACCCATTTGACATGTATTCATAAATGAGGACTCTTTTAGGCTTGTAGCAGAAACCTAAAAGAGATACAATATTAACATGAGAAGTTCTGCTGATACTGGAAACCTCGTTAATGAAGTCCTCTCCGTTGCTTTTTGAATCACTCAAGACTTTAACAGCCACAAGACGGCCGTCTGGGAGTTTTCCTTTGTATACACCGCCAAATCCTCCTTGACCCAATTTTTCCGCGAAAAAGTTGGTCATTTTCTTGATCTCCCAATAGCTATATTCTCTGGGAAATACTAAATCATGGCTCCTCAAGAATGCCTTAATATTTGCAATGTTTTTCTTATCTTTCTTCCTAAAGCACTTTCGCTTGAGACAATAGACTATCAAAACAATAAGCATCAAAAGCATTGTTGTACCAATTACAATACCTGAGTAAACAGAGAATTGAGCATGTCAACCGATTTAGTTCATAAACAACAAATTGTAACTGCATTGAGTACATGATTAAATTTATATTCTTTGGTTATGTTTAAAGCTATATATTAATAAATAAACTGTATATTATAATATCTTAACTGTTGGATTACCTATTGTTGTAGCTTTATGTTGACTATCAGTACTCTTGTGATTGGAAAGGAAATCTCCAGAAAAATCTGTACCTGAAAAATTCGAATGAGTGGGTAAGGTAACTAAATTTAATAAATGAAAATGTACAGTTCTTAAGAGCAACAAGAATATACATATATATATATATATATATATATATATAGTTTACTCGCTTTTTCATACGAGTGGCACTTAAGTTTAAAATGCCTCATTTAACTACTTTAAATTTTGGTCACAAATCTCTATTAAAAAACTTAAAAGTTCTCCGTTAAATAGAGGACTATTTTTGTCCAACAACAGTACAACACCTAAAGTGTTTAGATAAAATAACGTAGTATACCATCAAAATTCAACAGCTTTATATTTATGTCATGTATATTGACTTTAAAAAATATATATATTATGACCAGGATACTCTCCAAGGATGTCAGGTCATTTTTGTCAAAAAGAAAATAATAATTTAAATAGAATATTAGTTAGGACATTTTCTGGTGACTTGAGTGGCATAATGATAAGTTTATATTATTGGGTGAGACTCGTATCTTTTGTATAATTTTAATGTCTTAATTAGTGTCTAACTAATAATATCATGCACGTCATGTAAAAAAATTTGAATTGTTTTTTAACTAACACTTTTATACTTATCATGTAATGATGTGAAATAATTTGATTAGTTAGATACTGTTTAGAACACTAAAAATTGGATAATAGATATAAATCCCACTGGATGGCATAGATATAAAGATATAAAGATTGCATCTTTTGAATGGCATTTCTGTGTTTATTCCTGACATTTACTCATTTTCTAGCGTGGCACTTCAAATTTTAAAATATCTTACGGTTAGACTTGTTTTCTTATACTAATCATAGGTCAAAGCAGATAAAAAATAAATAAATAAATAAATAAATAAACTCATAAAAAGGAAAAGAATAAAACATATAATTAAATTTTCATAACAATTAATTATCACACATCATTTCATAAAAAGTCCATTATAAAATTCATATATTATTAATTATCAAATAGCAAAATCCTCAGGATTAAATAAACATATATATCAAAACTATTCAAAAGGAAGGCTAAATGAAAACAAATGTATTTTTGATTTATAAAATTAAAAACAAAACTTTACCCAAAAAAAAAAAAACCTCTATGTAACTTTACCCCAAGGTGACGATGTTGGTGGAAGTCGTGACCTTGTTGGTCGAGGTGATGAAATCGGTCCTAGTGACGGTGGACGCGGAGATGACAGTGGACGCGGAGATGACGGTGGAGGTGACGTATTATTGCTTCGTGATCCTCTTGTTGCATTAGCGCGCACAGTCACTGAAAAATAGTAATTAATAATATATAGAGCGATGAAGAAGTACAAATTAAGATAGAATTTACGACTCATAATAGCTGCATAATTAATAAAGACATTCAGCCAAGAGATTATTTTGAAGGGAATTGTAATCCTAGCAAAGAGAGAGAAAAGAAAGTGGAAATGAAACACAAAATTTAGGGAATGAAATAGTTGAGTTCGTTGTCTTTCTGAGTATCAAGTTATATGGGTATCTAAAGTTTCCCGTTCCATAATGCGGCAGCACAGAAATGGAAATCAAGGCCCAGAAGACATTACGGTCCGTTTAATTCGTTTATTCGAGTTTTTAATTTAAATTAATATGTGATTTTACGATAACTTTTTATTGTAGTAAAAAGATTAAATGTGACTATTTTTTAGAGTTTTTAACTACAACAAAACTCAAATTTTAAACTCAAATAAGTGAAATAAACGGAACCTACATGCGACTGCTCATGTTGTGCCTTGCATCATGTGGTTTTCTTGCATCTTGTGGTTTTTACAAGCCAGCTTATTTAGTACTACAAAATTTGAAGATAAAATTTGAACAACTCAATGCACCTAAGTTGAACAAATAAGAAACGAACATTGAACATAATTAAAATCTACGATAATAAGCTAATACATGCTTTTTGTAGAGAAAGAGTGACAGAATTAAAGAATTTTGAATTATTATTATTGGTGCTCCCTGAATTTTAGGTTCTAATTTGGCTTCCGAAATTTAAAAACTCTTATTTTACCCTTTGAAATAGTCTCACTTAACCCATTTCTGTTAAAATTTCTATTAAAAACAAATATAAAAAAGGAGGTAGTGTGATCACATAGTCTTTCTATTAGAATTTCTCTTAAAAATAAATGAAAAAAAAAAAAAAGACTACCTGGCCATTTAACTCTCTTTTTTCTCTTATTTTAACAGAAATTCTATTAAAGATGGGTAAGTGAGACTAATTTAAAATTTAAAAGATAAAGTGAGGAATTTTTAAAGTTTGAATATGAAATTTTAAGTGACCCTAAAATTTAAGGGACACCGATGATACTAACCCAAAAATTTGAAAGAGGCGAATTGAGTTTGAGAAATGAGGAGTTGATTGGGGGATTAGCCAATTTTTTCCTTCTTCTTCTTCTTCTTAATTAATTAGAAAAACAATGAACTACAGTACGTTATTGAGAAGATAACGTTGCATAAAAAATTGACAAGTATGAAAATAAAAGAAATACTCATACATGTTTTGAAAATATATTAAAAAGATAAAAATAAAAATAAACTCGAGTTATGGCATAAAAAAAAACTGATTGTAAGATACTTCTCACAATACAAGTGTCCTTCGTGCTGAAAAATAAAAATTTAAAAATTGAAAAAAAAATCAATGCACTAATATGATAGTTGTTCTTTTTTAGAGAGACTATAATAAGTAAATATATTTTCTTGTCGCTCATAAATGTTGTTCTGAAAGGACTTGTGACTTTACTAAAGAGATGATTAGCCGTGTAAATGACGCGTTAGTTTTGCATTTTTCTGCACAAAATTCGTTACATTTTCTCTAATAACTTTGTTTTCCTCTTGGTTCAGATCTGGTAAAGCCACAAGCTGTATCTTATTAGGCATCGAATATTAGATATCCTATCAATATATTATGTATATCAGCTAATATTTAGCTTTCAACGTAAGATGGAATTAACTTTTCTGATTAGGCACAATTTATTAGAGTCTTTTTTTTTTCTTTTTCCTTTTTTTTAGGGGATATATTACAGAATCTCATCTAATTGGCATAAACTTAGCTGAGGACAGATTAATTTATGATATAATGCGGAAAAATTAACTAAATCCTTAAAGAAATGAAAGTTAATGAAGATTATTCAAGTTTGTCGATATGTATACTAACCATACTGTATGCACCTTCGGTCATTCTGACTGGTAGTATTGCAATAAGGCACTGGTGCAGTCTGTGTTGCCGCCATGGAGAAGATCAGCTGGTAAGGAAGTCTCCGTGTCTGGTCGTTTTTTTGGATTCTGCTAAATTATTTATCTCAAACACCCAAACAGCTTTTCTAATTCCAAATGAAGTAGGAATAGAGTACGGGCATAAAAATTATTGGATCAATTATGTGGGGCCGGAACTTTATTGACTTTGAATTGACTTGGAGGTTTGGTTTGGATCCTTTCTTAATACGGTGGTCTGGAAACATCATGGAATGTGAGAAGAAACACCGCAGGGAATAATTGGCGAGATTTAGGATTCGTTTGGTACGAAAATTTAAATTAAGATGATTCTAATTATAATTTTAAAATTCTAATTATAATTTATAATTTTAAATTTAAATTATGATTCTGAAATCATGATTCAGAATCAAGGGTTTGAATCACATTGAAATAAGATGGGCGTGGTTTTAGAATCATGAGTGATTCTAGTTTAAAACATCACATCAAATTTTGAATCATGATTCAGAATCATTTAGGGGATGTTTGGTTTAAGGATTCAAACCATGATTTGAATAATGGTTCATGGTTTGTTACAGTATTTTCTCTTACAAAAAATACACGTAAATCAAAAATGATTCTAATCCATGAACCAAACGTCTCCTTAAAACTAAACACTGAATCATGATTTAAAATCACTATAAACAAACACTGATTCTGAACCAGAATTCAGAATTATGATTCTGAATCCATCTATCAAACGTAACTTTATTAATTGGCAACATTTATGACCTATTTAGTTGTATTAATTAACTAACATTTATGACCTATTTAGTTCACATATTTACTACATTCACTTTTTTCATTCTCTTTATTTCTATTTGCCTTCCCTTCTAATATACCCAATTTTAGAAGCTAAAACTCTGGTGCCGGCAACCCTCTAGTGAACTACCGTGCACCATATTCACCAGTGTCATTAGAAAACACCAGATCTAGAAGGTCTTTCACTTGTTTCTTTTTTACATAAAATTTAATTATTTATACATAAAACTTGAATATTGATGATTTTATTCGAAGATACTGAGTATAACATTATTATTAGTCAAGCAATGGACATTTTAAGGGGGAAAAAAACACTTTATTTTGCATGGACAATACAGTAATTTTGTAAATAAAACTTATCTTCTTCTTTCTTTTTTCATTTCAATATCAAACAATAATCATTTCTTCTTGTCATATCAAACCAAATTTAAAAAAAAAAAAAAAAAATCAAAATTCATCCCCTCCTTTCCACTCCACCCGTTCCCTATCCTATCAATCCTTCCTGCAAAACGGACCCTCAAGTAATTGTACAAAAGGTGAAGAGACCAAGTGCAACCCATACTTATCAAAATATATATATATTGCAACCCAGGTCATTATTTCACCGTTGACCTCATATCTGGGATGCCCTCTTCACCATTCGATTGAGTACCATGTGTATGCCCCAGAAGTGCATACCACCCTAGACTTTTCCCATTACTTCCATGTGAAATCGGAATTCGAAGGGTTTTGAAATTGGCGTTCCACCTGCAAAACTTGTCTGCAGCCACCAAAGTAGCGCAACAAAAGGCAAGTGAAAGAAAAGGGGCAAAACGGTGGCCAAAGAAGAAGAAACGACAACAACTGAAACAAAGACAGGGACAGAGATTAGTGAACAACAGGAGATGAAGCCATGGGAGCAGCATGGGGGAGTCATAATCATACCTCGTTTTGACTACAACGCGCCTTCTTCCCTTCTCCAACACTCCCACTCCGGTTTTCTTCTCACCTGCACCATCAGTCTGTTCTCTCTCTTATTCCTTTTTCTATGAAATTTCGTTGCTTTCGCTTTTTACGTTCTCAACTTTGGACTAATCTAAGACTTGGGTTTGCTTTAAATTTTCTAAACGAAATTGATCCCAAGTGGGTTTTGTAATTCTTGTCTGCTGCGGAATTTTTAGGATTAATTTAGTGAGTCTGAGTATGGCAAAAGCTAGGTATGATGAAATTTCGAATTGGATATTTAGTATTAAGCAGTACTAGTTCATTTTTTATTTTTTATTCTTTTAGGAATGAGTTTAATGGAAATGAAGCCTACATGACATCTGTTATTCTGCTTGCATTGTTCAAGAGATTTTGGGGTTGTGGGTGGCAATGAGGATATGCAACAAGTGAAATGTAATTTCCAATTTCTGATTTTCTATGTGCCTCTTTTTTTTTATATTTCATTTATTTACTATTCAAGTTGAAAATAAAGCTTTATTTTGTTCATTTCACGACTCAAGTCACAACTTAACTTTTATTGCTACTATGTTTTCTCTCATAAAAATTCAAATTTAACTTTTTCGCTACTGTGTTTTTCTCTCAAAATACACAACTCAAATCATAACTCAGATTTGAGTTGTGAAATGAACATATAGTTAAATTTTAACGCTTTTCCGTTTTTTCATAGAGAGGGAGAAAAGCGCTACAAAAGAAGCAATGTCCATCCTTGGGAAGGTCAGTTTTTAGTTCAAACTTCTTTTTTTCCGGCTCCAGTTCATACTTCAACTAGTTTAGCTTCTAATAGTTGATAGCGCATTCGGTGGAGTTGAGTTGCGATTTTCTTTGTTGCGAAAAAGTGATGATGACTTCTTCATTTGTAAAGAAAAAAGAAAAAGAAATAAAAACTTGAATGGAAACATGGATGTTGACATTTCCTCACGCCGCATAGGACGGCACAAGCAACTAGTTTGAAATGAGTTTTTAGTCTTGATACTGCAATCTCATCCCTTCAACAGGTATTAAGCATTGGTAACTCATTTTGTTTAATCAGGCGAACACCTTATGTTCTTTCTGAGATGGCTGGGGGCGATTTTTGAGTTGTAGGGGGTTACTCTCTGTTTTATTTGCTAGTAATTAGCGAATTCCCAAGTGTGTTTGGTTGGAGGGAGAGATGGAGGGATGGAGAGGGGTGGAGGGAGAGGGCTAATCACTTATTTGGTTGGAGGGAGAGGAGAAGTGGAGGGATGTGCTTTAGAGATGGAGGGATGGAGAGGGGTGGAGGGAGAGGGCTAATCACTTATTTGGTTGGAGGGAGAGGAGAAGTGGAGGGATGTGCTTTCTTTTAGGGCCCACCAAATTGGATCTTTCCATCAATGGAAGGACTCAAACAATCCATCAAATTTAATATTAAAAAGACTGTCTTATCCTGTAAATAAATTATTGACAAATAGTTTAAAGGGACAATATAGTAAGTTAACTATTTTCTATCCTTTCAACTCTCCTTTCATCCTACCAAACAATATGAGAGATTACTATAATTCTCTCTATCATTCCTACTCTCTATCTCTCTAACTTTCTCCATCCCTCCAACCAAACGGACCCCAGTTCTCATGAGAAAATTCAATACATGTTTCAATTTTCAAATACATCAGAATTTTATGAATTATGTTATTTCTGCGGATAATTTGCACAAATGGTCCCCAATCTTTTTAAGAAGTGACAGTTTGATCCCGAATCTTTTTTTTTTGACAAAGTGACCTCCAATCTCTTTAAAAGGTGATAGTTTAGTCCTTTTCGTTCAATTTTTGATAGTGCAAGTCATGTGCACTGCACATGATCTCATAATAAAGGGTATTTTAGTAAACAGAATAATTTCTTTTTCAACAAAAATTAAAATAAAAAATCTAAAAAAATCTAAAGAAGTCATCCCAGCGACATCCCTATCTCCGGCGACTCTCTATCTCCAGCAACATCCCTCTCTTTCTTCTTCCCCACGTGAAAATCTCTCTCTCTCTCTCTCTCTCTCTCCCCCTACGTCCTTTCTATTTTGTTTCTCTCTCAAACTAGATCCATCCATGACCAGCGTTGGCAGCGGCTCTGCGATTCCGGCAAGCTTCATTCTCGATTTTGGCCAGCTTCATTCGCAATCTCAAACCAGATCTTATGAGTTCCTTCACGATTCTGGCCTAAAGCGCGATTCCGTTTCCAGCCTGATCTCGGGTCACATATCCGGAAAAGATAAGTCCGCCATCGCGACGAAAAGTTGCTCGTCACCGTCCTCTCTTCCACGGTGGCGCTCGCAAGAACAATCAGAGAAGAGGAGTCCACCGTCAGAAATGATAAATCCGTCACGAGCTGCTCGCGATAGTCAGATCCGGCGAAAAGAGACTCTGACCTCACGATGGTAAGAGATATGACGAAGAGGGAACTCCGACCTCGATTTTTGAGGAAGAACTAACAATGTTGTTGAGGGTTTCAAAACAGAGAGATAGAGAAGGTGAGAGGTGAGAGAGAGGTTGAGGGAGATGAAGAGATAACGGGAGAGAGAGAGAAGTGGGGGGTTTGTTTTTTTTTTGGTTATGGGGACATTTAAGTCATTTTACTGAAAAAGGGGGTCACGTGACATGTTTTGTTAAAAATTTAACTGAATTTGAGGAAATGACTAAACCGTCACCTTTTAAAGAGGTTGGGGGTCGTTTTGTCCAAAAAAAAAAATTTGGGGACTAAACTGTCACTTCTTAAAAAGATTGGGGACCATTTGTGCAAATTATCCTATTTCTGCTAAAATATTATTGGTCGTCTATTTCTTATTTGTTTTGCAGTTTGTTGCGTCTGTAACTACTCGCACTAAAGAAGGTTCAGATAGCTCTGATGAAAATTCTACTTCTAAGAGAAGGAAAACATGCACGGATGATGTAGATGGTGAACACATCAATGGTGAAGAAAGCAACGATGCTGATAACTCTGAGGACAAACCTGGTACTTTCATGGTGACTATCACTCGATGTCCGCTGGGGTTTGGTCAAACCCTTTGCAATGTATAGTATTTGATGCCTTTTTGTAGTATACTGACATGTCGTTTGCTACGACAGGGAATCGTTCGGGAGAGTTTCCTTTATCCTCAGCAAAGATTGATACAATGGAAGAGAGAAATTCTGTTCTTTCTCTAGTTAAGCTGACGAGGAGTGGCTTGCTTCTCTTTACCTTCACCAGAGGCACCTCTTTTGACACTGTCAATATTGTATCAGAGATTTTTCAGTCGCTGGAATCTGCAGGTTCTAGTTCACCCCAGTGAGTAGTAGATCTCTTTTCTTTTTACCCCATGTCTTAAATAGGAATTGCTGTTTATTTCCAAGTAAATAGTTAATCTTGGTTATTTTTTCTCAAATATGTTCAGTTGGAACCGTGATTAATATGGTGCAGCCGTGCAGGTGGTGTCACCGCATCTTTCCCATCCAAGCTACTTGTACTTTGAATGAAAACGAACTACGCGTAGTTGTATCACGGCTTGTTCTTGAGTTCGTGAATGATAAACAAAACAAGCTTGCACGGCCTTTAAAGGTAAATGTTATAATTTGTTTTCGTAGATAACTATTAGTCTTTTCTATGGTGTCAGGCCTTTTAGGATAAGAAGAAAATGAGGAAATCTGGTTTTGTACAGTGTGGTATGGTAAGAAGTAAAGGAGAAACCTAGGTTTCTCTATTTGCCCTTCGTTTGATCCTTTTTGCGTGTGTGGGCATGTGCGTGCCATCTGGGCCAACTACAAATTGCAGCCTCAATATGATGTATATGAGTCATGACCAAATGAAAGTTTCTGCCCGTGATTTTGTTTACTTTAGCCATTGCCAGTTGACTTAATTCGTTAAATAATCATGGTGATAATTGTTGCAACATCACCATATTGTCTTGTAATGCATCTTTCTGTTTTGGTGCAACGAATTTTTATCATAATAGCAAGTATTTAAATTGATTTTGTAGTTCGCAGTTGGATACAACAGACGAGGAATCGAAGAGACTGAGATGAAGGTCACTAAAGGTACATCACCTGCTTCAAATTTGTTGGACCGGAACAGCTGCTTTTCGACCGTGGCTGCCGCAGTTAAAGATGTTGTGCCAGATTCCATAGTGGACCTTAAATCTCCAGAGGTGAAACCTAAAACCCCATCACATTCTTCACTAATTCAGCGACATTTTACTTTGTCTTTCATTTTCCTACTTCCAACTAAATGTCCAAATTTGCAGCTTTCGGTACTTGTTGAGTTACTACCCCTCTCTGGGGTACCGAATGGGTCGTTGGTAGTTGCTGTATCAGTTCTCCCACAAAATCTAGTCAGCACAAAGCCACGATTGTGTGTCAAGGCACTGATTTCAAATGTCAAAGCAAAGGGCGGGAAGCATTAAAGGCGGGATTAACCGATATGTTTGGGGTATGTTTGCAGTAATAAAAAGATGCTCGAAGAGTTATTGTGAAAGTGGGAATCCGAATCTCGTCAGTCGACAATTTTGTTTTCCAAAGTCGCTTGTATTCAGTCGTTACATTTAGTTGGGAGATGGATAAAACTAACCTTTGACATAACTGTTATACTTTTTTGTTTTTGAAGTACAATAACTGTATATAATAAATTGATATCAGCAATAACCTTAAAGGGGGGTTTGGTATAAGGTAATCTTAGATGTGAGAATGAAAATCTGTCAGATTCTCATGTTTAGTACAATTATTAGGGGGCGTTTGGTATGAGGTAATCTTTGAGTGGGAATGAGAATCTTCTCACATTACTATGTTTAGTACAAGAGTTCTAATTTTTATATTCCCAAGAATATCAATCCCATGGGATTCATTTTACCCGAAAATGGGATAATTTGAATGACACTCAATATGGTGTTATTCAGATTTTAAGGAATATCAATATGGTGTTTTACCCATTAAGGAATATGCCCCCAATTTGTTAAGATTTTTTTTTGAAGAAAAATTTACAAATTTATTTCTTAAACTAAGAATAATTTTTGTGTTTCTTAAAAATAATCAAATTTTTAGTACTTAAAATATTTTAAATTAGTTATTATTAAGAAGAAATATAATTTTGTAACGTAATCAAATTTTTATATTTGGTTTGAGATTTTAATATATTCTTAAAAATTTGTTAAGATTTTTTTTTGAAGAAAAATTTACAAATTTATTTCTTAAACTAAGAATAATTTTTGTGTTTCTTAAAAATAATCAAATTTTTAGTACTTAAAATATTTTAAATTAGTTATTATTAAAAAGAAATATATTACATTACTTTGTATCAACCTAACACAATAAAATAATTTTTCTGAGAATATGAGAAAAGATTCACATGCATAACCAAACGTGGTAACACACATTTCATAAGAATCATATTCCCTTTTATCACTTTTTTAGTAATATAATTTCTACTTATTACCGCATACCAAACACTCCTTTAGGCTTTTTTAAAATCTAAAAAAGTGAAGCTCGTAGATTTTACATTAGGTAATCTTAAACCCATGTAATAGAGTGTTATTCACTTTTTCTAGGAAAGTAATATTACTGAAAGAGCCTTAACATCTCTCTCTCTCTCCCTCCTAGCCCAACTGCCTCTCTCTCTCCTTATCTTCCCAGCCCGCCGGTCGCCTATCTCTCTCTCACCCTTCTTTTCCAGCCCCGCCGGCCGCATCTCTCTCTCACCCTTCTCTTCCCAGCCCGGCCGCCTCTATCTCTCTCACCCTTCTCTTCCCAACCCCGCCAACCGCCTCTCTCTCACCCTTCTCTTCCCAGCCCCGTCGGCTGCCTCTCTCTCTCACCCTTCTCTTCCCAGCCCCGCCGGCCGCCTCTCTCTCTCACCTTTCTCTTCCCAGCCCCGCCACCTCTCTCTCTCTCACCCTTCTCTTCCCAGCCCCGCCAACCGCCTCTCTCTCTCACCCTTCTCTTCCCAACCCCGCCGGTCGCCTTTCTCTCTCTCCCAGCCCCCGCTGGCCGCCTCTCTCTCTCTCTCTCTCACCATTCTCTCCCAGCCCCGCCGGCTGCCTCTCTCTTTCACCCATCTCTTCCCAGCCCGGCCACCCCTCTCTCTCTCTCTCTCACCCTTCTCTTCCCAGTCCCGCCAACCGCCTCTCTCTCACTCTTCTCTTCCCAGCCCCGCCAGCCGCCTCTCTCTCTCACCATCGTTTTCAATATGATTTGAATTGATTGAATGATAGGGAGAAGAAATTGGATTTCTGAGAGTGTTTGGACAGATTAAGGATGTTTGCCGAGGTTGACGATGACGACGATTTCTTCTTCTTATTCGGGAGGGCCTCCGAAGTGTTATTATCTGTATTTGCAGGAAACTTCGTGACTACTTATTGTGTTGTATTTTGTACTTCTTAAAATATTAGTCTTAATGTTACGAGCTAAATATTTAAAAAATATTAGTTTCATTTAAAAAAAAATAAAAAATATAATATTTTTATGTATAATTAAATACAATAATATATTATTTTTGAGAATTTGAGAAAAAATTCATATATACAACTAAAAATAATAATAAATTATTTCTAAAAATTATATTACTCTCTATATAATTTTTAGTAATCATTACTGCGTACTAAACGCCGTGATTTGAGAACCATGTTTCCGGATTCTAGCGGTGATATGGCTAATGGATACCCCACGTCAAGCTATTTTGGGCTCTAGCGTGTTGCGTGTAAGCCCAACTCACTTTATAAGGCCCAAATACTTTAGTTCCTCCTCCCACCGTACTCCGACTTTTTTTGTTCCCTTTTGCATTGTTCTCTTGGGTATTTGCAGTATCATTATGGTTGTTTGGCGACGAAGTGGACCTTAGAACCCGGACATCTTTAGTCCCCTTTGGAGGTCCTGCCGGAGCTATCTCCATCAACCCAAGGCCTCTTCAACTAGCAACGTAGTCTATGAACCGAAGACCGCAACATCCGCTACCCTGCGATGTCCTAGTGTAGAATCTAGTAGCCCCAATACCTACTAGTGTGTGTCTATTTTTAAATTACTAGAAATGAATGAGTATACGCACAATGTTCTGATCATTTTACATCAAAGTATGCTTCAGTGGCTAGAATAACTAATTATGAGAGTAATACGTCGAAGGTTTAGCATAACTAAAACTAATACTTGGTTTATTTTACATATGACACTTAAGGTAAATCTCTTTAAGCGACCCTAAAAGTCACGAGTCTTAATTGACAAAAATAAATTCCGTCAACATTTTGCACTAATTCACCTTTGCTCCACTTTCCATTCTTATAAAAGCAATGATCCCTCTACTAAAAACTTAATATCTAAAAAAAAAAAAAAAAAAAAAGATTGAAACTATACACTGAAAAGAGACGAATTAGAGGAATTTACTATCGGAAAAAACTATAACAGAAAAAGACAAGAAATATGGATAATAAAAAGCAGACAAGTGACATGGCCTAAAACATGACGATTCTACTATTTAGTACTCTCTTCAGTTGCCGCATAGAGCAACAGAAAGATCTAAGTTAAGACTGTGTTTCGCCGTAGAAGATGAGATAGAGCAGTCTTTATATTTAGCCGCCGCAGACAAAGAGTACGATGAGATTGCCACGCTGATTTCACTCGTTGAAGAAGCATTACTTCTATTTGAAGAGGGATTATGTTGATGATCATGCAATGAGAGTGACAACGACAAATCGCAACACCCCCCGGCTAATTCTATGTCTTGATCCGTCTCTGCCTCCGTAGATTTTTCGTATCTATGTAATTGCTTCGCTTCATGCCGTTCATCCTGATCAGGCTCGTTAACCTGTTTAGCACAAATAATTTTTGATTAATTAGTGTCAATAATATTCCATGAGTTTGGTCTGACTACACATTTTCATACCAGCTAGCGTATTGCACTATGTGATGATTGCCAACTTTCTGTAGAGACAAATGCATATAAAGAACGTAAGGACTGAGTAAAATTTCATTAATCTAAATTATTTTAATTGTTTTCCCACAAACTCTATGTTTTGGTGCGTAACTTTCCATTGATTTTATGAATATAAAACCAAGTATGCCACAATATAAAACAGTAAATAATTTTATGAATAACACCAAGTATGCCACTTTCATAGGAGGCAGGTCTGGCTTTTGTTTCAACTACTAAAGCAGCATATATAAACAATGGAAGTAATTATAAGGACATTTAAGGTAATGGGTCTATATTAAAGGTTGATCTATATGTAAATGAGGATTTTTTTTTTTTTTTTTGGAGGAAAGATGTAAATAATAAGGATCTAAATAATAGAACATTACAAAAAATATGCTGTACCAAATTGGATGCTAAATAGAAAAGCGTATTTCGTATGGGCCTATTCAACAACATATTCCAGTAGGCCGGTACTGAAATACTATACTGCAAAGTCTACAGTGTTTCTATCAGCAACAAAAAAAAAGTTTCTCTATTTCAACGCAGCCTAAAACAAAAAGGTTCACACAATTCAATGGTTAATTTAAAAAATAAAATTTTAAAAACAAAAACAACAAAAATCAACCGGTTAAATATGGGACTACATGGTATCTAACAAGTGGGAATGTATTGTCGCTTCGCATATAAGATCCCAAGCTAGCTAGCAAGGACTATTTCATCTACACATGGTACTATCTAGAAGAGCGCAATAAAGGGAGTATTATGAATTTCCAATTTGGCCAGCCACAGAATAGGAGGGGGGGGTCCCCTACTACTAAAGAGTCATAAAGGACCACAGTGAATATATGAGAAAAAACGTTTCCCACAATCGGACAGACGGTGTATAAACTTGAATCTCGTTCGTTTCACCGATTCAACTTTAAAATTCGAATTTTATTATAGTAAAAAAACTCTCAAAAACAGTCACATTTAACTTTTTTACTACAGTAAAAAGCTCACATAAAATAATATCTCAACTCGAATTAAAAACTCGAATTAGCGAACTAAACAAACCCTTATTCTTTTGAAGTTTTTGAGTTTGAGTCACTTAAATTCAGATCTTGATTTAAGTTAAGGTGTATTTGAGTATGGTTTGAGTTTGGACTCTAATTTGAGTTTGTGTTTAAATGTGCACATTTTGAGTTATGATTTGAATTGAGAATCTATTTGCATTTGTGTTTACGTGGATTAAAATTTAAATTTGTATTTGGATAGTATTTTAATAAAAACTCAATGGTGATAGAAATTTTAATAGAGTATATGAGTTAAATTTTATTCATCTCTTCGTTGTGAATGCATAAAAAAAATCATCTCAATCAGAATTAAAACAAAAAAATTACAGCGTTTTTAAAAATAAAAAAAAATATTATTCATTAACTTGAATTTAAATTTAGAAACTTAAATTAAAGGAGAAACTTAAACTCAAATTTCAACCCTAAATTTAAGTTTAAACTCAAATTTTATAAAAAATATATATATAAATTTAAATAAAATTGTAACTTGAATTCAAATTTTTTTTGAATTTATGAGTAACCGTTAGTTATTTGGGAACGCTAAACTAAAAAGGAAACAGAAAAATCTGATTGGATAGCACGTGTAAGGCACGGACAATAATATAATATTTTGGTAAACAATAAAGTACTATATAGTATTAAAAATTACGAAGGTTACTACTGTATACTTGTTGAAGGTTTTCTTCCTAAATAAAGTTCTCTTTCATCCCCTAAATACACAACGAATAATATGAAGTCACAAAAGTTTCTTGCCCATTTTTAGAGAGAGAGAGAAAGAGAGAGAAAGGAAGAGATTTCTCAGCTAGTAGGAAAAGGAACAAAGGTATTATATTATACAGTACTGTATAAAGCTGTGTAAGTGAGAATAAATTTAGAGGACGTCCGTTGACCTAAGAAAAAAAGAAAAAGGTAGAAGCATAGAGAGAGATACTCATTGCCGACTGTAGAATACCCAAAACTTCTACACTCAATCCCCTTGCTCTAACAAAATACAAACTATACATGTATACATACCTATATATATAGTTTTTATAGTAGTGTAGAGTAGTGTACCTTGAAGAAATCAGATTCCTGGACAGCGTATTTGAAAGGGTTGAGGTTCGTGAAAAGATGATGTTGTGGTGGCAGAGAGAAGGCAGCTGCTGTGGAATATTGATGAGGCTGCGTATGCTGCTGCTGCAGCAGCGGCTGCTCCTTTATTCCATAATTCCGCTCAGCCAATGCCATCAGATAATCATCAAAACAGTACGGATTCGATACTAGTTTCTCACACGATGATATTCTACTTTCTTCTTGTTCGTGGCATTCTGATATATTTGAACTTCTTGTCTCCATTCTAGCTCTACATATATTTATATATAAGTATATAACATCATGATTCATGAGTACGGTGTTAGAAATATATACATATCAGAAGAATATCAAGAAAAAGAAAGCACAATATAATATAATAAATACTATATACACTTTTTGTTTGTTTCTCACGTTATTTTCACATATAAAAAGATTCTGAATCTACCCTTCAGAGCCAAAGAGAAATTGAAAAGCAAGGTAAAAAGTACATAATTTTTCTTTTCTTTTCTTTTTTTCTAAACCTTTTGGAAGGAAGAGAACTGTAAAGCTGAGAATCTGATTCCCGAATGCGTTTTGAAGATGGCCGGTTAAAACCCACACCATTTACTTGATCATGGCCGTCAATAAGGCTATGTTGATGATCATGCTCTTTAAAACTTTGCTTCCTTTGTTGGGATGAATCTCTATCTGAATATTATAATTTATAAGGCCCAAAAAAAAATACCCAATGAGACGTAAAGCAAAAATAAATAAATATATATGTATACATATATATAAATAAATTATATATACTTGCTGAAAATGGGAAGTAAAATTGAAGGCGCAAAGGGATACTAAAATTCGAAAACTTAATGACAGATGTGACCGAGGTTGTGGGTTTCATCATGAGTGCCAATATTAGAAGATTTTGAAAGAGTAATGGTTTCTCTTTCTCTCACCTAGTTTTGGCATACATATACACTTGGTGTAAATACTAAATACTATAAGAAAGGGACTAATAAAATAAATGAAGCCATCACTGCTTGGATGGAAACAAAAATTGCAAAGTTGGGAAGGTCATACAAAATGAGCTTTGGCTTTGCAAAAGCACACTTTAATAGAAAAGATACAAGGGCATTATTATTTATTTATTAGGGTTAAATGTATCTGTTGCACCCAAAAAAAAAGAGATTGAATTACCTTGTCTGCAGCCAAGATCTCCTCTCATGCTCCTATACATCTGGTTAATTATTTAAACAAAAGAAGAGCGAAATAAACAAAGCGAAGAAGACAAAAATAAGAAAAGGAAGCAAAGACAAAAAGAGAGAGGGTAGGAGAAAAGTAAAAGTTGAATTATCTAAACCTAGAAAAAATAATAATTCAGCTTGAAAAGAAAGAAAAACCTGGAGATGGCTTTTGACATGTGAAATAGTGAGTCCTTTTACATCCATCAACTGAAGAACAAGTTTCGGTGTGGCCTCTACACAAAGAGAAGACCGAAAGGGAGAATGAAAAACAATATTAAAAAAAAAAAAAAAAAAGACATGAATAAGAATCCAAATTAATGAAAACGAAGAAAAAGAGAATATCATTATAAAGAACTGACTTTTATGGCCTCCAAGCCTCTCGATAGCATGAACAAAACAGTGATGAAGTTCAGGAGTCCATCTCAAACGAGGAACTTTTGATCTTATGTACTGCCTAACAGCTCCATTTCTTCCACAACTATTTGTCATTTTTTCTTGATCTAAAACACTACTTTTGATCCAAATGGGTACTTCAAAATCCTCTCTTTTTTGTTTCCCTCCAAATAAAAATCCACCAACTGGGTTCTTCACAAAATTCTTTAAAAACTTCTCCTTTCTTGTCTTCTTTTGATGATATGATATAAACCCTTTCTTCTTCTTTTTCTTCTAGAAGAAAAGACCTCTCTTTGGTGGTCTCTCAAAATTATCCCGTTGGATGTGTCTAGGTAGGTTTGGAGCTGTAGCCCCTTTAAAAGTGTTGGAAATGAAGAGGAATTTTTATAAGCACACATAAAGAGAAAAGAGGATAGAGAAAGAGAGATTATAGAGAGAGAAAGATCACGAGAAAAGGAAAAGACGAAGCTGAGAGGCTCTGTAAATTCCTTAAGGAGTCTGATAATACCTGCCTGGCCCTGCTGTGCTTCTGTTTTTCCTTACCACCACAAACCCCTCTCTCTCTCTTTCTCTCTCTCTCTCTGCCAAACAAGAAAATAAAACAAAACGAAGGGAAAATGTGAGAAAATTCTCTTCTATTTAACGAGAGTTATTTGGAGAGAAAAATAATAAAAATCAATAGTACTATTGATGAGGTGTTTATATAATTTGAGTTAATATATAATTTTATATTAAAAATTTTTAATATAATAAAAAAATTATATATTATTATTTTTAAGAATTTTTTATTATAATAAATTTTAAATTTTAAATTTAAATCGGTAAAATAAACGAAATTTTTATTTTTTTTATGATATATTCTGAATGAATGTCTGTTTAGTTAATTGATCTGAATTTTTAATTTAAATTTAAATATAATTTTAATTTTATGATAATAAAAAAATTAAATAAAATTATTTTTAAAATTTTTTTATTATTATAAAATTTAAATTCTAAATTTAAATTAATAAAATAAACAAAGTTGATCTTTTTTGCCAGTGCCACCCCTTCTCTCTAAATCATTACCCCTATGCCATACTACAACTGCTTCCCTTTGACCTTAGTTTCTCTTTCTCTCTCTATCTCTTTCTCTCTCTCTCTTAAATTCAATTCTTCTGATAATATACGCCAACGTCGTCATGATCACAAAAAAGGCACCCATCAGAGTTATTATTACTTTTTTTTTTCTTTTTACTTCTGTTCTCTGTCTGTTTGTTTGTTTGTATTCTTCTTTTAAGTTTTTTAATTCTTTGTGGTATTGTTGTTGAAAAGACTATTTTGCCCCTCGGGGCAAGATACTTGGGGAGTCCAGAGCCTAGGGATCTGCTACGTCGCCTAATGGTTAGGACACTGGGGGGGTGCAATTTTGTGGGTCCCGTAATGGCAAAGCCCTAATGCAATGGGCTGACTAAAAATGGTACGAAAATCTGCATGTAATATCATGGAATCCACATTATGACTCTCCTTTTAACCCTATCAGCGTAAAACGAAAAACTAGCCGGTGTTAAAAATAAACCCCCACACGGACTTTTTCTACGGTGTCTGAATGAAATCTGATTTTCTGAAATACGTTAACGAATTTTTGTTTAACCAAAAAAAAAAAAAAAAATTTGAGCCCCTACTTTCAGACATGAGACATGAGATATGTGCTAATTCTGTAAACTTTTTTAATTTAATAAAATATTAAGTAAATTTAACAAAATACGATATAAATATCATAACAGAAAAGTTTCCTTAAAAAAATGACAATCTATTTTCCTATTCTTTTATGATTTTTTTAAATAATTATATTGTTTATTAATCAAATAATGCGAAAAACTGCTCATATGGACGATATGGATAAGAAGAGGAATAGAGGATTTAGCCAGTTAGTCACGTAGGGATCTAACAGACGTGATATGACAAAATGCTAAATGCTTTTCCATCAAAAACAAGAGATTAACATATATAGATGAGCTATTTATCAACTAATAATAAAAGTTCTCTTAACAGTGACAGTATAGCCACGCCTCACTTAATTTCTAGTTTCTATTACTAATTTGAAGTACTATTACTAATTTCTATAAATCATACTGTTCAACAATACGTAGAATGAATTAATCGTTTTCCTTCAAAGAAATTTAAGAAAATAACAATACGTATATATGGCGTATTGTAATTACATAGATATCAGTTAAAACCTCTGGACAACGCACGTACGCATGTACAGGCTTTCTTGTCCAGTGGGCATGCCGCGACCTCTTGCTTGCGACCTTTATTACTATACTTTCAGTTGTGATCTGTGGGGATTATTTTTTATATTTTTTTGGCTGAATATTTGAAATGCTTGATTCCTTTTTTTATTATTTTTTTTTATAGAAATTTAAATGTTTGATTTCCATTCCATGTATAATTGTTTCCCATCTAGTCGAGTTTTGATCATTTTAGAAAAACAGCATTTAACTAATAAACCGGTAAAATATCATGAGAATTGAGAAATTATCTTAAAATCTTGAAAGATATCCAGAGAATTTCAACTTGACACATTATACGTCCCGTTCATTTTATCGATTTGAGTTTAGAATTCGAATTTTGTTTCAATATAAAAAGTTTTTAAAAACAGTCACATTTAATTTTTTTATTACAGTAAAAAATTCTCATATAAAATCACATCTCAACTTAAATTAAAAACTTAAATTAATGAAATAAATGAGTTATATATATATATATATAATATAGAGTAGATACGCCATGAATTATTCTTTTACATACCTTTTTTGGGCTAAATTTTCATTTAATTGGACACTTAAGGAGTTGGTGGGAATTGATCAATAAGATCAGAAAAGGGCACCGGTAATTTATAATTATAACGGGGCCATATATCTGGCCGGTTGTTATAGCACCTCAAAATCAACTCAACGATCTGAGTTCGTAAAGCTGCGAATTACTTAATATGTTACTGTATAATATATAATTGTTCCCTGACCCTACTGAATGGCAGAACCCCAACCGTATAAGGATTATAAATTCTTTGGTCGTACGTTTAACAACAGACAAAATATTTTTGATCTCATTTATTTCACTAATTTAAATTTTTAATTTTAGATTTTTACAGTTAGAGTCCGTTTGGTTAAAGAATTCATTATCTGATTCGAATCATGATTTCATAGTTCGCTATAGTATTTTCTCTCACAAAAAATACACGTAAATCAAAAATAATTCTAATCCATGAACCAAACGAGCGCTTAAAAACTCTCAAAAAATGTCACATTTAAATTTTTCTGCTACAGTTAAAAGCTCTTAAAAATGTTACATCTCAATTCGAATTGAAAACTCGAATCCATAAAACGAACGTGATGATCATGGAAAAGTATCCAACGTCTATTCTTACCCGATTCAAGACTTCTCTCTAAAAAGATAAATAAAGAAAGAAAAGAAACGATGCATAAAGATTTTTTTTTTTTTTCAAATGATGCATAGAGAAAATTTTTAAGATGTAAGATGAGGATTATGTGAAAAATCAGATGTACATTAGTATACTTGTTTTTTTCCCTATTTTTACTACGTCCAAATCTAACTAAATGATATCCAACTAATTATATGTTATCATATTATTTAACGGTGTCAAACATTAAAGCATAAAAAAAGTTAATTAAAAAAGTTTAAATTTTTTTAAATGACGTGTCATCTTGTGATTATTAGATATCATTTTGCACATTGGATAACCTAAGTCTGATATTTTTTTTTTTGAGAATCGATAAAATAAAATCCTAAAAACAAAATAATTTTAAAAATGCTGGCATGTACTCGAGCGCTATAAATTTCCTCCCACTAAAGGGCTTTTTCTCAATTCCATATTTCTTTTTGTTTCTGTTAATTAAAATCTCCGTTCACTTTACCGATTCGAGTTTATAATTTGAGTTTTGTTACAGTAAAAAGCTCTAAAAAATAATCACATCTAACTTTTCGACTACAGTAAAAAATGAAGGCTTTGTAAAAATAACTCAATAGAAAAGTTTTATTAGTAAAATAACTTTTTAAAAATTTTTATTTGTAAAATGACCATTTTTTACAAAGAATGATTAGGTGGTCATTCTTCATAAAAAATGAAGAAGGTCATTTTGCTATTTTCACTTTGTTAGATAGTCATTCTAGCATATTACCTGTAAAAAACTCTCACATAAAGTCACATCTCAATTCGAATTAACGAACTAAACATACCCTAAAAGAATTTTTTTTCTTTTCTTTGGGGTTGGTTAGTGGTTACAAACCGGCCTTAACTATTACTTCAATAAAAAGCTAGGAGAATTTACATTTCATTATTACAAATGAAGTTATAAGATGCATGGACGGAGAAGATAAAAATAAGGATGAAAAGAAGGAATGATTTGCCTAATTATTTTAATAATATTTGGTTGGAGAAAAATAAAGGAGAGAAAATATTGTCTATACTCCATACAAAGTTATTATACGAAATGATTGAATGAGGTGTAGTCAAGAATGTATAACATTTTCTCTTCTATTTGTTTGTAAATTTGAAAGGATTCAAAAATGGTAAACCTCGTACATTTTCTACTTGGAAATTATAGTATACATATTATTGGTGCGTTTGAAATTCATTTCAAAATGATTTTATGTTTTGTATGAAAATGAAAATGAAAACGTTTTCAATCTCATACGTAAATTATTTTTGAAAATGCGTTTCATAGTTTTATCAAGAGATTATTTTCAGTGTAAAAAAATCCATTAATGTCTCTCTTTCTCTCTCTCTGCTCGAAAGAGGAGAAAACGAAAACAAAAAATGAAAAACGACTAAAAATCATTTTTCATTTCTCTTCCATTTTACACTAAATCAAAAAATCATTTCCATTTCTGTTTTTTATCTTTATTACGCCAAACACCGTTTTGAAAACGTTTTCATTTTTTCTTTCTAAAAAAACGTAAAAAATAAAAACAGGATCAATTTCAAATACGGCCACTTTTTTTAAACATATTTTAAAAAATTTATGATAAACGATTCATTTAGAATGTAAATTTATACGTAAGAGACGTTTGGTTCATAGATTAGAATCATTTTTAATTTACGTGTATTTTTTGTGAAAAAAATACTGTAATAAACTATAAATTATGATTTAAATAATACTATGAATCTCTTTACCAAACGCAGTTGTAGTTTACCTCAAATATACTTAGGGCCTGTTCTTTTGGAGTGTAACTTGAGTGTAGTTTTTGAGTTAAATTTGAGTTATAACTTGAGTTGAAGTTGTAACTTGAATAAAGTTAAGTAAAATTAAATAAAGTTAGAACTTAAAAAAATATGAACTTGAATAAAATTAGAATTCGAGTTATCTTTTTTTAAATTTTTTAGATAAAAGAATAGGCCCGAAAATGTAAATTTAATCGGACAAGTTGAAAACATTACTGATTTACTGTATTAATGAATAAAGTAAAAGTACAGTTCGTCATAAATTTCCCCCTAAAAAAAAAATACTTTTTCCTGAGAAATTGATAAACAGATTATTTTATAGATGAAATTGGAAACTTAATTTAACTCAACTGAAC